ATTACCCCCAAAATCAATCCCAGCCTTCCCTTTGTGGTATGGTACCTTGCAGTACAATTTTAGAGAGATCCATACACTTGAACAAGTTATTGTCTGGAAACTAGAAAAATGCTCATTTTTAGCCCCTTTTTGGCCCCTTATCCCTAAACGTTCTGGGTAATTACCCCCACACTCAATTCCAGCTTTCCCTTTGTGATATGGAACCTTGTAGTACAATTTCAGAAAGATCCATAGACTTACACACAAGTTATTGTCATGAAACTAGAAAAATGCTTTTTTTTTGCCCCTAATTCCTAAAATTTTGAGGCAATTACCCCCAAAATCAATCCAAGCATTCCCTTTGTGATATGGAACCTTGTGGTACAATGTCAGAGAGATCCATACACTAACACACAATTTATGTCTAGAAGTTACAAAAATGCTTATTTTTGGCCCCTTATTCCTTAACTGTTAGTACCATAACCCCCAAAATCAATCCCAACCTTCTTTTTGTGGTATTGAACCTTATGGTAAAATTTCATAGAGATCCATTCACTTAAACTAAAGTTAGAGTGCGAAAACCATTGTGTCTTTGGACGATGACGACACCGACGTCATACCAATATACGACCGCAAAATTTGTTTGCGGTCATATAAAAATGCTTGTTTTTGGCCCCTTATTTCTAAATGTTTGGGGCAATTACCCCCAAACTCAATCCAAGCCTTCCCTTTGTGATATGGAACCTTGTGGTACAATTTCAGAGAGATCCATACACTTACAAGTTATTGTCCGGAAACTACAAAAATGCTTGTTTTTGGCCCCTAATTCCTAAACTGTTGGTACCATAACCCCCAAAATCAATCCCAACCTTCTTTTTGTGGTAGTTAACCTTCTGGTAAAATTTCATAGAGATCCATTCACTAAAGTTATTGTCCGGAAACCAAATGTGTCTTCGGACGACGACGACATAACAGCATTATACGAATGCAAATTTTTTGGGGTCGTATAACAACCTTGCAATAATTTCTGAATTTAGAGTATCTATGAATATTATATATCTCCCCAAAAGAGGCATGGTTTGAGAAACAGCTGTATTTACAAAGTGCAACCTATAGATCTGGATAACACAATTAATACCTGTTGCTCTCTTTGTTTGGCTAGAATTTTAAATGCATTACTTTGGTTTCACTGTATATTATACAAACCTTACTCAAATCTAACCTTAAATTGTATTGTTGTAAAGATGGTCTTTAATGAAATTTCATTTCAAGTGATGAAGGACAAAGCAATCAGAGGGACAATAATAACCTCTCAGCCTATTTGCCAATTATTGTTATAACCCACTTTTGACACAAGTTGTTTTCGTATGGTATTTATAGACTGGAAAAAATGGGCTGCTTCACAACTGATTAAAGGTAATTAAAAGATTACACACTTTACACACAGTTAAATTTGCTCTTTATGGTCAATGAAAATGTATATCCTTCCCAAAGGAAACAACTAACAAAATGGATCTCTTACTGAAGGGTCAATTACAGAATTGACAGACTATCAGGCAACCCTAATTTTCATGGAGTGCTTCTCTGTAGGAAAATATTTCTTGTCTTCTTTGCTTGCATATCATATAGTTATAAAGGGACATAACTGAAGAACGGTAAAAGTGACGCTAACCAAATTTGAACTTGATCTGAGTTTTGTGGTAATAAGCATTGTGTGTAAGTCTCATAACATTTGGTTGAGGCTAACTTAAGTAGAGAACAAAAACTAAAAATTCAGCAATTTTTCTACTTGTAAACACGCATAACTCTAGAACGGTTGTGTATAAGTTTTATAACATTTGGTTGAGACAAACTAAAGTTAGAGAACGGAAACGAAAAATTCAGCAATATTTATGTTTATAAAGGGACATAACTCAAGAATGGTAAAAGTGTTGCCACCAAATTCCGTACTTAATCTGTATTATGTAGTAATAAGCATTGTGTATAAGTTTCATAACATTTGGTTGAGGCAAACTAAAGTAAGAAAACGGAAAGAAAAAATTTGTACTTGATCTTAGTTTTGTGGTAATGAATATTGTGTATAGGTTTCATGATTGGTTGGGGCAAACTTAAGTTACAGAATGGAAACTAAAAATTTTGTAAAATTTCGATTTACAAAGGGGCATAACTCAATAACTATTAAAGTGACACTACCCTTATTCAACTTGATCTGTGTTTTATCAGTGGAAGTCAAAATTAAACATTGCATAGTATAAAGCATTGATTGTAGTTGATTCAACTATAATCATGGACAAAGGAAGATAACTCCAATTTTATAAATTACTAGATATTTAGAAGAAAATAAAAATTTAGCAATTTTTCCATTTCTAAAGGGCATTACTCTAGAATGGTTTAAGTGACACCACCAAAATTCAGACTTGATCTGTGTTTTGTGGTAATAAGCATTGTGTATAAGTTTCATAACATTTGGTTGAGGCTAACTTAAGTAGAGAACAAAAACTAAAAATTCAGCAATTTTTCTACTTGTAAACACGCATAACTCTAGAACGGTTGTGTATAAGTTTTATAACATTTGGTTGAGACAAACTAAAGTTAGAGAACGGAAACGAAAAATTCAGCAATTTTTATGTTTATAAAGGGACATAACTCAAGAATGGTAAAAGTGTTGCCACCAAATTCCGTACTTAATCTGTATTATGTAGTAATAAGCATTGTGTATAAGTTTCATAACATTTGGTTGAGGCAAACTAAAGTAAGAAAACGGAAAGAAAAAATTTGTACTTGATCTTAGTTTTGTGGTAATGAATATTGTGTATAGGTTTCATGATTGGTTGGGGCAAACTTAAGTTACAGAATGGAAACTAAAAATTTTGTAAAATTTCGATTTACAAAGGGGCATAACTCAATAACTATTAAAGTGACACTACCCTTATTCAACTTGATCTGTGTTTTATCAGTGGAAGTCAAAATTAAACATTGCATAGTATAAAGCATTGATTGTAGTTGATTCAACTATAATCATGGACAAAGGAAGATAACTCCAATTTTATAAATTACTAGATATTTAGAAGAAAATAAAAATTTAGCAATTTTTCCATTTCTAAAGGGCATTACTCTAGAATGGTTTAAGTGACACCACCAAAATTCAGACTTGATCTGTGTTTTGTGGTAATAAGCATTGTGTATAAGTTTCATAACATTTGGTTGAGGCTAACTTAAGTAGAGAACAAAAACTAAAAATTCAGCAATTTTTCTACTTGTAAACACGCATAACTCTAGAACGGTTGTGTATAAGTTTTATAACATTTGGTTGAGACAAACTAAAGTTAGAGAACGGAAACGAAAAATTCAGCAATTTTTATGTTTATAAAGGGACATAACTCAAGAATGGTAAAAGTGTTGCCACCAAATTCCGTACTTAATCTGTATTATGTAGTAATAAGCATTGTGTATAAGTTTCATAACATTTGGTTGAGGCAAACTAAAGTAAGAAAACGGAAAGAAAAAATTTGTACTTGATCTTAGTTTTGTGGTAATGAATATTGTGTATAGGTTTCATGATTGGTTGGGGCAAACTTAAGTTACAGAATGGAAACTAAAAATTTTGTAAAATTTCGATTTACAAAGGGGCATAACTCAATAACTATTAAAGTGACACTACCCTTATTCAACTTGATCTGTGTTTTATCAGTGGAAGTCAAAATTAAACATTGCATAGTATAAAGCATTGATTGTAGTTGATTCAACTATAATCATGGACAAAGGAAGATAACTCCAATTTTATAAATTACTAGATATTTAGAAGAAAATAAAAATTTAGCAATTTTTCCATTTCTAAAGGGCATTACTCTAGAATGGTTTAAGTGACACCACCAAAATTCAGACTTGATCTGTGTTTTGTGGTAATAAGCATTGTGTATAAGTTTCATAACATTTGGTTGAGGCAAACTTAAGTAGAGAACAAAAACTAAAAATTCAGCAATTTTTCTACTTGTAAACACGCATAACTCTAGAACGGTTGTGTATAAGTTTTATAACATTTGGTTGAGACAAACTAAAGTTAGAGAACGGAAACAATAAATTCGGCAATTTTCCATTTGTAAAGGGGCATAACTCTAGAACGGTAAAAGTGACGCTACCAAAATTCAAACTTGATCTGTATTTTGTGTTAATAAGCATTGTGTATAAGTTTCATAACATTTGGTTGAGGCAAACTAAAGTTAGAGAACGGAAACCAATTTTGGGACGTATGTATGTATGTTCGTACAGACGGACAAGGGTAAAACTTAATGCCCCCTCCGCTACGGCAGGGGCATAAAAATCAACAAGGAGCTTGTACCAAACAGCGCAATAGCCTAGCCAATCTCAGTTTCGACAATTTTGTCACAAACTTTACAAGAAACCTTTATCCATGACAGTATATATGCCAATAAAATGCTAGATTCTCATCCGTGCCCTGATTTTTCGGAGCCAATGGATATTTTTGTTCATTTTGATGGTTTTCACCATAATGGGAAAAAAATATAAATAAAATTTGAACCCCCTATCCCCAATTTTTTCAAAGAAATTTGGATGAGAATCTCGGAACCTTTTTATAATAGCCTCAGCATACTAATTATCATTTGAATCCTTCACAGGAGAATAATATGTTGTTATCAGATGGGGATTCTCATTATGGGTTTCTCCACATTTTACTGATGTACCATTTTATCCTGGTCTAGCAAGCTCATTATTGCTTGGTCATGAATTAATATCAGGCTAACATACATTTGGCAAATACTACATGTATTTTCATAATGATAACATGTTCATGAACTATAAATATACCATGCTTTGTACTAGACAAACATGTAATAATTTCATTGCTCACAGTTTAAACGAAGGCAATTACCCAACATTGAAACATATTACTAGGAGACGACCAGTCTTTGCTTACTTCTAAATACCTATTTTTGCAAAGACAAGGGATGGAGCCCTCCTGCACTCCAGGCCAGCACTTTCATTGATTAAGGAACACAGAATGTTGTAAAATAGTATTTTATTTGTAAACATATTTCATGGTATCATTCAGGTGACAGGACTTAAGCTGAACATAACTCACCTGTTGAAAGAACATCCTAAAGTTTTAAGCAGCAAAGCCAATTTTAGTTATCTAATTTATTTATGTGTAGAATAACAATCAAACATTGTTGGAATTGTTGACAAATGTTCTCCTTATCTAATTATTATTGCATAATGGAAGTGACTTTCAAAACTAAAAGATTTAAAAAAAAGTTTGTTTGTGAGTACAGGTATCACAAGGTAGTCCAGAATAAAACTCTGGGAGTTGGTGAGGGGGATTAAAGGCCCTGACAAATATGGGTAGTATGGCTGAGGTACAGAACTTCATTTGACCCATGAGAAAGAAAATACCCTAATTTCTTACTAAATCTGCATAGGTTGTTGATGTGAGAAAAAGGGCCTTCCAACAATACCCCCTTGGCAGGCCTCCCTTTTCTCCCCCCCCCCCTCCTGAATAGCCCAAAAAAGAAAAGTAATGTATAATAGACATAAAAAATTCAAGGATAGATAATATGCATTTTTATGAAAAAACAACCTAATTTACCCAACTAAGCATTATACAATAGCTGCATTTTGAAATCTTTATATTTCTATATAATTGTGAACATTAGTTTTGTTAGAATTATATATGAATTATGTCTTCTTGCTTTTCATTTCCCTTTTTGTTAAATCTCTGGGGTATTCTTTTCTGAATCTTTCTGGGCTATTCTTTACTCAATCAGTCTGTTTGGTCTCCTCATTTCCAATTAAATTTTCTAAATCTTGGAATGGTAATTGAGACCGGACATCGTCTTTCAGTAGCTTCATGATAATGATAACTGTTTAAAAGTTAGTTGTAAGATGATATTCAAATAGCACAACAAAAATTCAGTTGAAAAAATAATACACATGTTGTTGTGCGAAAACATGCCCACCTTTGTAATTCAAAGCATCTGAAAACAGGAGTAGGTGTCTGACAGATTCCAGAAGCACTCACACATTACTATTTATTACTGCTAAGCTGCTGACCAAATTTGAAGTCTTCTGTTCAATAGTATTAGAGAAATGGGTGACTAAAATTTCATTTAACATATATAAAAATTCAAAGCATCATTTAACAGGAAGTAGGTATCTGACAGATCTACAAAGTGCCCATGCGTTAACTTTCATCACTTGTCAAGCTGCTGACCAAATATGTCATTCTGTCAGTACCTGAGAAAATGTGATTGAAATATTTGTTAGACAAACAGACCGATTAGGAGAATGCAATATAGCCCCAACTCTTAAGTGGGAATACTAATAAATAAAATCAGAATGCACACAAAAACTTGTTTTTTTCTTCTTTTGTCACTAAATTTTTGAATGGTATGCACCAGTACAGTTATGACTGTTCTAACTTATAACTACATAAAACGTAGATAGAATAAGACATGAACTATTACAAAACATACCTGTATATCTGAAAACTACCACACAATTAAATCAGGAAGAAAAATCAATACTGCATAGTTTCAAAATAGTTCAGTGCAATCTGACATAAAAAAAAATTGTACGTGTGTGTGTGTGATGTGGTGTGGTGGGGAAGGGGGAATTAATCTATTAATTAAAGATAACTTCACCTAATTTGGGAAAAAAGGAATACATTTTAATATTAAATAACTGTTAATATTAAAATTTAAGCAGTAAGAATGCTTTCCATTTTTTTGCAAATTTGCAATTCCAATGAAACCACAAAGCTTTCTATTACCTTTTTGGCTACAACTCCTTAACAGAAGACCTATTTTAACAAGCCTCATCAGAGTTGGTATAGAAACATAATTTATATAGTTTTAAGAATGAATAATTGCAAATTTAGTGCTGCCTCTTTCCTATAAATAAAACTTTCTAAAATTTCTTTTTTATTAAAATAAATTAAATTCATGATTGCTGTCAGAAATTAAAAAAAAATATGCTAAATTTTAGACAAGTATTTCACCATTGTATGCTTTTAGTAAATAAAACTTAATATACATTTAAATGTTCTTTCAACTGGCAAATATGATGCTATTTCTCCTGAATTGACTACATTAAAACTTTTTGTCATGATTTTAATAAACAGATGCATCATTGAGAGAAGTGAGATTTACAAACTAAGAACCTGGTAATTAATTATTTATTTAAGTAAGTCTTTTCATTGGTTTCCAATCCTATACAGCAGGCAAGCATAGGTATAAAAATGCTTGATGATGGCTGATTTCTACTTTTTATTCAATAAAGGTATCAAACTTTGTTTACATGGTCTTTCAGAAAGAAAACAGAGGGATTTAGTTTTTAAGCATAAATCTGAATAAATATCAAGGTTTTAATATATATATATCACAGAAAACTTTTCTGTATAAAAGTGACCAGTCTGATTAAAACCAAACCTCTCAGTGCTCGTGTTTTTTAAATCTCGTGTGTGATCACAGTGCGACAAGTAAATAAACGATAGCAAGTGAGAGGTATGAATTTAAAGACTGTAAAGTGATCGTACAATTACTATAATTTTGAACAGTTCAAAGAATTTGACTGTTTTTGAAATTTCAGGGGCCAAATTAAATAATGTCTTTCATCATACCTTATCCATCCATTTAATTTTTTTGTAATGAGCAACCAGTAACACTTACAAAACTGTTGTGTAATTGTTTATCTCAAATTTCAAGCTTCACAACCTCCTTTTTAAAGAAAATTTTTATGTAAAAGATATCAAGTATAGTAGTAAAAAGAAAAAGGAAAAGAAGCACAGGTCATTCTGATATATCTTTGACCATGGATTATTAATGCCATGAAATCTGAAGAAGATAAAATGAAGTTTGTTAGTAATTCAAAAAATTAAAATTTTTGAAAATGCATTAGTTTTCTTACTTTGTGTGCCTATGACTGTTCTGAGTAGATTTATTTCATTTGCTCCATTCAAGCTTATACAGAACTTAACCTTTTCTTTTTATACATTTTATCAATTTCAAATTACAGACCTTTGTAAAATTTAAAGTTTAAGAAATTCGTGGGCATTGTGAGATTCGGAATAGAATGAGCTTTTTTCTTCTTCTTCTTTCTACTAAAATTTTACAAAACAGCAATATGTCTAAAGATTTATTTGCTTTGCTGATACTATCAATTAATTCCTGTTAACACTGCCATTTGTGATTATTAATGAGGCCATAAAATGTAACTTTTACATTTTTCAATCAATGAAAATAAAAGCAGACAAGCTTTTTTTTTAGACAGATTTAAACATATCCATATCAAACATGAATAATTACATTACATGTATGTTTCATATGATCCCTAATTTTGATTGGCTGAAAACAATCAAAAGGCATTCCAAAATTAGATTTTATTTCCCATTAAAATGCAACATTAATGACAGCATGTGCTTCCTGTGAAAAGTCACTGCAATGCATAGGAAAACAAATGTAAAATTTGATATATCTCATAATTTCATGATTGTAGTATAAAAATTTAATCATAAAAATTGAATGCTTCTTTTTGTAATTTTAAAGGGTTGTAATAGTGATGATTGTGTGCACATTTTTAGAAATGTGCTTTGGTCAACACTTTTAGACCCAAATAAAATTACAAAAAGAAGCATTCAATTCTTAAACAATAATCAATTAACATGACAAAAATCTAAATTTTAAAAATCTGAGTGGGAATAAAGCAGACAGGGATGAGGATCTAGAAATTCATTTAATCTGGCCTTGCTCTTTTTTTTTAATGGAAAATAACATAATATTTTGCTAATAAAAATCATGAAAACTAAGAAAGATCTTTTTCATGACTCCATTCACTAGTACAAGACTGACCATGAAATATAAAATGTAAAGAGGTACACTGCAGTTTTATAAAAATGCTGGACAAGACATAGTAAATTATAAATGTCAACAGATAGGTTCCAAGCTTCACACACACACACACAATAGTCCATGCATATCAAGTATCTCTTTCTTCAACTATTTGTTCCAATGCATTTTATGCCATTAACTTTGAATTTAAGTCTCTTGGATTTACTACATTTGGAAAATTCATTTTGATTCTCACTTTTCTCTTTTTCTAAAATTCAAAGTTTGTTTTAAAGCACTATCACAGGATAAATAAATGACACTTGATGTTTTCTCTCTCTCTCTCACGATGCATTTCCATTGACTTGGTCTGGTTGATTGCTGGCAGGGATGATAAATGATGGAGAATAGGGGAAAAGTTTATGACAGTCAGCTTGGTATTTCTGTGCCGTCGTCTCACATTTTCCAAAATCACCTCGACACATTGCTTCAAGCACTTCTATACAATTCTACAAATATAAATGAAACTACATTAATAGGAGCATATTTTTAATGTGGATAGCGAGTTTCATTTTCAAGGTGAGACAAATTCAGCATGAAAGCTTAAAGGTAAGTACATATAAGTTCATAGTTAACATATACACATGAAATCTACTAAAATTTGTGCTCCACAAGTAAGGATTAATCCACAGAATATGGTGGATTTAACAACAGATGATATATGTAGATTATAACATGGCATTTTTCATATCAGACCCCTTATCAGCCGAGAGCCGACAGGCTTGAGGGATGATTTTGACCATGAGCTTACAAGGGGTCTGATATGAAAAATGACATGTTATTTTCTTTTTATCATATACTTCAGCAGAAACCAAACAGACAAGAAAACTTTTTTAAAACTTTATAAAATTCATTTATTGTATTATTTGTTTTGCATTTTTTAATAATATATTTTTCTGTTTCCTAATATTTGTTCTTTCATTCTACCTAGTTATGTTTTTCACTAAAATGTACCACTGAGTTTTTTTTCTCCGGAATTTGCAGAATGGCGTCGAAATGCTTTGCGATAACGTTTAAGAAAGGCATGCGATATTAACCTGAAGCAGTTGATATAAACCGGAGGCAGTTGATATATACTGTAAGCAGTTGATAACGAAAGTCATATCACACAGCTAAGACAATTCTTCAAATTTAATGAATAAATATATGTACAAATTAGTTTTATCAAGGGGTACAATTATACCATTATTTTCTATAAGTATATGATAAACTTTTTTATTCTGTACTTAGTAGTATATACAGGTAAATTGTATGTGTAATACAATTGATGATAATCGTGCTGTATTAGCCATCCGTGATGATATCGATATCAATCACGGTTGCAAAGGCTTTATCACACCCCTAATCTGTATGACGTCACATAATCGATATCAGTCACAGTTACAAAAGCTTTTTGAAACCCCTAATATGTATTACATGTACGTCATGTCTCATGAAAAATATCTGAGAGATGCGTTGTAAATGAGGTACATGTATATAATACAGCTTTTTCAATATCACACCCCGTTTTAACCCTCAACCAATATATTTCTTCCAGCAGAGCTCTTGGGATTATATTGGTGTCTCGGGTTGATACACGTGATATTGAAAAAGCCTTACGATGTTCTCTATTAACTTGCTGATTTGTTATGATTTATTTCTTCATTCATTTTTTAACTATGACCATAACAGCTTAACATGTACCTCCTTCTATTCATACTTCAATTCAACAATATTGTTACAATTTTTAATTCATGTCATAGACCAATCCAGTTCCATTTTCAAATGTCAATGTCAACTGGTGCAAATTTAAGGTGTCTGTATATTATCTCAGAATGCAAAATAGGTGTACAAAAATCAAGAGACTTGTTTCTCATGTCAGTGTAAAGTGTTCTTATTGACTTAACCTTACTGTTAATTATAAAAGAATCAAAATCATATACTTTTTTTATTGAGTGTTGAAATAAATTTTTCAATAGATGTTATATTAACCCACCACAAAATATGTACATTAAAATCACTTTTAGCATAGCTGTTTCTGAAAGTCAACTTTATAGCAAACTTTACATGAAGGTCTTCCCTTTGGTGGGTGACTTGAAAATTTTCTGACTTCCTTGGTTAAAGTATTTTTTTATTGCTTTCTGTGTTAAAGAGCAAAACATGTTAATTTAAATGTTTAAATCCACTGATAGTGTTAAACAATTTACTTATAATATGACTGTAAATATATGCATTACTTACATTAAGAATTATTCCTTGCAACTTCGGTGAAAGACTTGTGGCAATTTTTAATGCTTCATCTTGTTTCTCTGGCGTGGGTGAAAGTTCATACATCATTCTGGCCCCTGAACCACAAAATTATAATATAATGTTATTGCAGGAAATGTTCACAATATAAATTAATTGTAATGAAATAGAGCCAATTATCATTTTTCAATATTTAATATTGACCCAACAGCAAGTTTAAGATGGCCCCTAGCACCTGAATAAACAGAGTTATTTGCTTGGTGTTGATTTTGCTACATTTGTACATTGAAGAACATATATGCAGTGTAATATCAAATAAAATGCTCCGCAGGGCGCAGCTTGATACGACCGCAGAGGTCGAACCCTGAACAGTTGGGGCAAGTATGGACACAACATTCAAGCTTGATACAGCTCTGAATTTGGATTGTGATTAAATATTTGACACAGCATAGGTTTCTGACACAGAATGAATGTGGTCTAAGAACTTAAAAATTTTAAATTGGACATTCACCTATTATGGTCCAATATCCAAAATCTAAATACATGGTTAGATTCAGCATATCAAAGAACCCCAAGAATTCAATTTTTGATGAAATCAAACAAAGTTTAATTTTGGACCCTTTTGACCTCAATGTGGACAAAGTTGATAACGGGGCCCAAAAATCAAAAATCTAAATACATGGTTGGATTCAGCATATCAAAGAACCCCATATATTCAATTTTTGTTGAAATCAAACAAAAAAAAGGTTTAATTTTGGACCCCGATTTGGACCAACTTGAAAACTGGGCCCATAATCAAAAATCTAAATACATGTTTAGATTCAGCATATCAAAGAACCCTAAAAATTCAATTTTTGTTAAAATCAAACTAAGTTTAATTTTGGACCCTTTGGACCTTAATGTAGACCAATTTGAAGACGGAACCAAAAATTAAGAATCTAAATACACGGTTAGATTCGGCATATCAAAGAACCCCAATAATTCAATTTTTGATGAAATCAAACAAATTTAAATTTTGGACTCTTTGGACCTCAATGTGGACCAATTTAAAAACGGGGCCCAAAATCCAAAAACTTAATACACGGTTAGATTCAGCATATTAAAGAACCCCAAGAATTCAAGAATAAAACCCCATTGAAATTGATCAAGAAATAAGCAATTTATACGAAGTATCTTCTTTTGCACAATACTGTGCAATTGAATATTTCTTGCTAATGTGCAATACTGTACAATTGACAATTTCTTGCTATGGCGCAATATTGTGCTATTGGATATTTCTTGCTATTGCGCAATACTGTGCAATTGAAGATTTCTTGCTATTGCGCAATACTGTGCAATTGAAGATTTCTTGCTATTGTGCAATACTGTGCAATTGAAAATTTCTTGCTATTGCACAATACTTATTATATAATAATTTACACATCCTGTTTGGTGTGTATCTCCTACCATATCATTATTATTTGCTTTTAAATATTAATCAGAAATAACCAACTTAAAATGGAAAATTTTAAAAGAAAAAAAAAAGGAAAAAAGGAAAAAAAAAAAATCCCCCCCCCCCCCCCAAAATCTTTTGAACCCCCTTATGATTCATCACCCCCAAACTCAATCCCAGCCTTCCCTTTGTGGTATGGTACCTTGCAGTACAATTTCAGAGAGATCCATACACTTGAACACAAGTTATTGTCTGGAAACTAGAAAAATGCTTATTTTTGGCCCCTTTTTCATTAACGTTTCGGGCAATTACCCCTAAACTCAATTCCAGCTTTCCCTTTGTGATATGGAACCTTGTAGTACAATTTTAGAAATATCCAAACACTTACACACAAGTTATTGTCATGAAACTAGAAAAATGCTTGTTTTTTGCCCCTTTTTTGGCCCCTAATTCCTAAAATTTTGAGGCAATTACCCCCAAAATCAATTACAGCCTTCCCTTTGTGATATGGAACCTTGTGGTACAATGTCAGAGAGATCCATACACTTACATACAAGTTATTGTCTGGAAGTTACAAAAATGCTTATTTTTGGCCCCTTTTTGGCCCCTAATTCCTTAACTGTTGGTACCATAACCCCCAAAATCAATCCCAACCTTCCTTTCGTGGTATTGAACCTTATGGTAAAATTTCATGGAGATCCATTCACTTAAACTAAAGTTAGAGTGCGAAAACCAATGTGTCTTCGGAAGACGACGACGACGACGACGCCAACGTCATACCAATATATGACCAAAAAATTTTTAATTTTTGCGGTCGTATAAAAACTACTGACTATAGTTGCAGTCTTCGAATACAGCCACAGGTTGAAGACCAACAAACTGAATTGGCTGAAGAACTTTACTTAAGTTTTATATCATGTATAAATTCTGGTATTAATCTAATATTAATGAAAGATTATGTTTTTTTCTTTTTAAGATTTAACATTTCACTTGTTAATGAAAGTGCTGGTGAGCACTAAAGAGGTAAAGAGACTTATTTAGACAATATTTTGAAATGACTTTTCTCTCTTTCTTCAAAAGTGTAGTTGAACAGTTAAGATTCATACTTAATGAACATCTTTCTGGGACTCTTTTAAAGTCTGGTTATACATATTAATTTAAAGTCTGGTTATACATATTAATTTAAAGTCTGGTTATACATATTAATTTAAAGTCTGGTTATACATATTAATTTAAAGTCTGGTTATACATATTAATTTTCATATTGTTATATGTTCACCTGTTTTATAAGCACACAAAAATAGAGAATATGACTGAAATATAAAAACCAGCTAGTGACTATTGCGATTCAATTCCGCAAGTGTAATCTTTAACTGAAAAGTTCCACTTTAATCAAAAGATGTAATGAATGCTACAGTTTCCAAAACACTAAATTTGATCTCAATACATACCTGCTAATCTATGCAATATGGAATTATTATTTTGTTCTAGGTATTCTGTATTAAGTGTTAAAGGGTCTTTGTGATTGTAAAATATCTCCATTTCTCTGTGCAGAAGTTTACTAATAGGTTCTGGTAAATCTGTTTTCTGTTTTACTGAATAACGAAAAGAACATATAATATTAATATTCACACATAAGATTGTTTGCCCAAGTTTATCATTGATCTTGTGGCGATGTACAGTTTGATTCAATTTGACCAGAATATTGCAAAAAAATGTCCATCCCTTTTCCATTTCTTTTTTGTGTTTATTTATTATTTTATTGTGAAGGCAATAAATCATTTCCACAGAATCAGCTGGAGTTTACCTGTCCATTTAAATTTTATGCAAAAAGTAATGTTTCATTGAATAAATACAATAGCTATTGTTCTCTGTTGTGTGGTAAGGTAATGTAAGATGTCAATGCAACACAGTTATCTGTTTGTGTTTTCTACTGCACAGCAACATTAAAATGTAGAAATACCATAATATTGAAAACTGTTTGCATAACTTTCCAATAAATATCTACACATATACATATGGATGGACAAGGTATAATTTGCAGTTGTCACTACACATAGGCAGACATATACATATGAACATATACTTTATTTTTCTTTCTATTTTACACATTTACTTACATGCAGTCGTTTCATGGTATTATGATGCATGTTGTAAAATGTAGTCCAAAATCTTTTTAAGAATATTCTGCCATGCTTGGAATCCAGCTCCCTAGATTTTTTTAACTGGTTTTGATTTGCTTAATTTAAGGGACAGTGACAACATCCATTAGACATCAATGTGCTCTACTGTTTAATAGAGATCTCATCAGTTTATATACCAAATTTAAGCCTTATTTTCAAACTTTTATACAGAAGTGATACTTACTTAACAATAAAAATCGTAACAAACAAACATGTAATTGTGGATTATTTCTTTCTACTTGACATCCTCTCTTTAATGACTGTAACATTAATAATATTTTTCCTACAATATAAAATGAATCCATATAATCTGTGCAAATAGAAAATATTACGATCAAACAAATCAATTCAAAAGACCATACATAAATTGATTTTACAATGCTGACATTAATCCAGAGTGCTGACCACAATTTATATTGCTTGTATTTTTGTGCTGTTATCTAATTGATGTTTGTTTCATGTGACAAACTCTCAACCCCAAACCCTGAAATTGGTAAATTCAGACAACAAGCAGGTAATTCCAATGAAAACAAATATTTTAGGGGAAATGGGCACTTATTTCCATAACCCATCCGCTATGCAATTTTAATATGAAATCAAAATGTATAATATGAAACCCTTATCCAAATTCCCCATGTATTTTGAAATTTGAAATAAGTAAAGAACTGTACAATCCAAATTAAAGTTTTTCCTGGAGTAGCCCTAGAAAAAATTCAATCATAACAACTAATAGCATTGAAAATATTGACTGTATTTTCAACATGTACACTGGTAATACAATTATAGCAAATTTTAGGAAATTTTCTTAATAATGCCAAACGGAAAAGAAAGTTGAGGCTATCTATTTGATAAAAACATCACTTGATATAAAAAAATAAGATGTGGTACAATTGCCAATAAGACAATTATCAACCTGAGTTCAAAGTCCTTCTTTAATTTCAAAAACATTTCATCTTTTATAAAAAAAGAAAAAAGAATTATAGAAAGTGTTCTCATTTGCTCATAACAAAATAAGTGATTGTATTTTTAATAACTGCATTGTAATATGTATTTAAAAATATCACTTTATAAATGATTATTCTCACAAGTCTGCGTGAATCAGTACACATACAGAGTTTTATAGATTTTCTTAATTACCTTTCCTAGAATAAATTTCATAAGCTACTATGTGTGTGTGTATTCTATGTGCTGCATGCATCTGTAAAGGTTTCAGGAATTTCAATGATTGCTCTAATGGGTCTTCAGGCTGTAAAATTAAAAAAAAATATTTTAAGTAAAAATTCTTTTGTAACTTCAAATAATAGATTTCTGTTACATATTGATGATTAGTCATTATTTATATTTTATAGATTACACATACATGCTAACATATTTCATGTGATATTGTGTCAACCAAGTCTCTATGCATATCTCATTCTTCTAACATTACATACAATTGAGACTTCTATTGATTTCTCATCTCACCTTACAAAGGTATACTTCTATGCAAAAAAGAAAAAGTTCACATGTTTAAACTATGCAAAAAAGACAAAGTTCACATGTTAAGCTGTGCAGTAGACAAAGTTCACATGTTTAAGCTATGCCAAAAAGACAAAGTTCACATGTTTAAGCTATGCAAAACCCAGGTAATAAAGACATACATAAGTGTAATATTTTACTTCACAAATTTTGTTTGCAAATTTTGGATGACCTGTATAACTGTAGGTATCCGATTGAGAATGTGTTGTACAGTTGTTAAAAATTTATGTACATGAAGATAAAATTTTCCCACGACTGGTTTCTGTGATGATGTTTGTAAGTAATGGATTATCTCTATTTTTTTAAAATTCTGCATTCAATTTGCAAGGCAAGTTTTCTGCCCCTATTATCATACCAACATTTCCTATTGGCAGTCTAAATGTCCTGATCTTCAATCCAAGCCAACTTGCATGACCTATCTTTTGTGTAAATTGTCAACAATTTGACATTTAACAAGCAACAATTGATCCATCAGTCATCATAAAAATATAGTTCCTTTGCCGTATGACCATTACCATTTATTTGTCTAATGTACATCAATCTAATTACATTATTTTTCTTTTATTTCTTAATACTTTTCCTTCCTGAGGAGGAATCAAGGAGGGTTGAGACCTCACAAAACATGTTTAACCCCACCGCATGTTTGCGCCTGTTCCAAGTCAGGAACCTCTGGCCTTTGTTAGTCTTATATGTTTTTTTTAATATTGTTTCATTTATATGTTTCAGAGTTTAGTATGACATTTCACTGAACTAGTATATAATATTGTTTAGGGGCCAGCTGAAGCCCGCCTACGGGTACAGGATTTTCTTGCTGTGTTGGAGACCAATTGGTGGCCTTTGGCTGTTTTCTGCTCTTTGGTCGGGTTGTTGTCTCTTTGACGCATCCACGTTTCCATTCTCAATTTCAACATTGTTAGTATAATGAAAATTCAGAGTAGATGTTTAAAATAGACGTACCCTGCTTAATTTATCTGGTACTAATTCCTCTTCTTTCGGACCGTCTAATTCACCATCCTGAGCTTTTTTATTCTGAGTTTCTTTTTTATCTTGTTCAGCCTTCTGTTTTTCCTGAGCTTGTGCTCTTTTCTTCGCTTTCCGTTGCTTATTTTTCAACTTTCTTAATTCACTAGGAGACAAATTTTCTGAAAATAGTTTCATATAATTTTAAAAAGAAACAGTTACTAAAAACAGAAGAAAATTAATTTTAAGCATCCCAACCATAATGCCTTTCTGTATCTGTATAAATTCTGCAAATGTAGGCACAGCTCCATTGGAGTTGAATAAAATAGTGTCCTTCACAACACAAAATTATAATTTAAATTATAATATTTTATTGTCCAATAAACCTCTACACAATATTTTTTCATTTTCATACTTTATCTTGTTTTCATCCTGAATAATTATTAAATATTTGCCACTGGATATTAACCCAACAACAATTAGTCAAACAATCATATCATCTTCTTAAATTGCAATTGATACGATTGATTGACAGGTTTGACAGTAATTGATAAGATTGATTGACAGATTTGACTGAAAATGACATATTACAAACCTGCATCAAGAGCACTATCCAGATCACTGTCCGAGAGAGGGTGGTCATGTAAATGTAAATAAATCTACAATAAACAAAACAGGTGTGTTACTTTTACTGTGTTTAAAGCTTATATTTTTCTTAATGTAAAATTAAGAAAATCCAATTCCCATTGTACTATAAAATGGTTACAGACTAATGTAAAGCTACCTATGATGGTAAGCATTCTGTACAGAATAACCTCTTAATCCTTTACAGCAAATTACAAACATTCTCTGTGATATCTTATTTTTAAATGATTTTTTTATTGAATAGTTCAGGGCCATTGGTCATAAACTTAACTGAGTACTCAGAGTACAAAATTTGCGCTCGAGACACCAAATCCAGTATTTTGATTGGTTGAATTCAGAGTCTGTGTATGGTAATTGTACTCGAAATTTAATATGTACATATTAAAATTGATTTTAAAAGAGATGTCATGCTAAATATACCCTCACTTATAAGGTTCTGTAAAAAAAACTTCCATGTTCAGTGAGAATAATGAAAAATTTAAAGTATCGTCAACAAAGTAGTGACTTCCTGGCAGATCAGAAAGTTGCCTACAAATTACAACTAACCATTTTAAGGTTATTACAGATGCTAAGTAATATTAAACACAATAGTTCCATGTTAGGTTAATACAGATGCTAAGTAATATTAAACACAATAGTTCCATGTTAGGTTAATACAGATGCTAAGTAATATTAAACACAATAGTTCCATGTTAGGTTAATACAGATGCTAAGTAATATTAAACACAATAGTTCCATGTTAGGTTAATACAGATGCTAAGTAATATTAAACACAATAGTTCCATGTTAGGTTAATACAGATGCTAAGTAATATTAAACACAATAGTTCCATGTTAGGTTAATACAGATGCTAAGTAATATTAAACACAATAGTTCCATGTTAAGTAGGAATAATCAAAATTTAAAGTATCCTCAAACAAGAAGTTACCAGATCTGAAAATCTCTTACACTGTACATCTCTTTAGCATTTCCATAAGGCCACATTTAAAAGAATGTCTGTTTCCCCTCCCTCAGGTCTACCCTTTGTAAACAGACCAGGAAGGCAGGTTATTTTTTTTATTTTTTCAACTTGATGTTATAGCCTGGTCACATGAATTGTTTGACTTGTCAAGTCGAGGCCACTTATCAGTTGTTTGTGCTTAATTTGAGTGTATTTATTTAGATTATCAATCCTCTTGCTTTCAAGCACTTTTCAAAAATGGAACGAATTATTTTCAGAAATAAAAATAATTTCGATTTTTTTGTGCAAAATAATTTTTTGACCCGGGGGCTTATTTCTGACCTGGGTGGGTGGAGGGGAAACAAACATATTTTTAATTTTGGCTAATACAGAAGCTGAGTAACATGTAGTGTGTTATGGACAGACAAATAGACAAGGTGAGTGAGTGGGGGTATAATAACATGTAGCTATCTTATGTACTTGTGCATCATTCTGATATTATCTGCAGACCTTGTTTATATCAATTAACCAAATTTGTTAAATAAAGAGAAACATTTATTGTGTTTTTTTTAAAGATCAATTGCTGAATATTACCTCTATAGCAATTTTAGCTGCTTTAAAATAGAATTGGTGGTGTTGTAATACATCCTCTAATCGTAATAATCCAACATAAGCTCGGAGAGTCATCTTCCTCATACAGTACGTATGGAAGTCAAACTGATCCTCTATTATTTCTGTAAAATGCTGAAATTATAAAAAGTTTAAAAATTAGAAAACATCGGGACAAATTTCATTGTTGAAAGTTTTGTTTGAAATGTAAATTAAAACTTTCACAATATTAACTACATAATTAGGTCTATTCCAATATAAACTGTTGACACAGATATATGTCTCACCTTTCTGTAATTTTGATAGTATAATGCATATGTTGAAATCAAAATGGCTATACTTTAACATGTAAACTATACAAAACATTCAAAGTCAATAAACCATGACTGAAGGTGCAATGCCAAATAACTTCCACTATTAAACCTCATACCAAATACCATTGACTTACCATAAGTGGTTCCCTTTAAACTAACCTAAATGTAAAAACAAACTTTAACATGTAAACTATGCAAAACAGAACAAGTCACTAGACCATGACCGAGTAGGCAGGACCAAATAATCTCCATGGAAATGAGATATGTGTCTATGCTAATACAACTGCATACCAAACATCATTGATTTACCACTAGTGGTTCCCCTTAAACTGACCTAATCAAAAACTATTACATGTTAACTTAGAAAATGTTTCAAATTCAATTGGCCATGACTGAGGGGGCGAACCATAAAATCTCCATGAAATGAGATGCATCAATGATTATACAACTTCATACCAAATATTATTGACCTACCACAAGTGGTTCCCTTTAAACTGACCTAATCACAAGCTAATACATTGTTGACGCCGCCCCTGGAAACAGCATACCTCAGTCTTGCTTTTTGACTCCTGTCAAGGCAAGACAAAAATGGACGTAGGGGGAAGGAATGCCTTTGAGAATACCCCAACATCCAAACAAAGGAATTTTATTATGTCTTTACCATTGATGAGCTATAACCAATATCCAAAAATAAGCGATTCCCTCCCACATTCATTTCATTGGAATAGCGCTAATATGGAATCATAAATCATAATCAGATAAATATTTCAAAAAATTATAATGTTTAGAACCAATATAAATCTTACATTTGACTTATTCAAGCTCAAGCCCTTAAATATCAAATATCATAGCTTAATGCACTGCAGAAAAATTTTGACGTATTTCACCCTCAACTGTACTATTTATATTGAAAATAAATGGGGAATGTCCATGGGACACAGATGATGCCCCCGCTTGCATATAACATTATAAAGGAACATAACTAGAGAACTGTAAAAGTGATGCCACCCAAATTTGAACTTGATCTGTGTTTTATGGTAATTAGTATTGTGTATAAGTTTCATAACAACTAAAGTTAGAGAATGGAAATGAAAAAATTTCAGCTATTTTCCATTTGTAAAGGGGCATAACTCTAGAACGGTAAAAGTGAAGCCACCCAAATTCCAACTTGATCTGTTTTGTGGTAATAAGCATTGTGTATAAGTTTCATAATATTTGGTTAAGGCAAACTAAATTTAGAGAACAGAAACTAATTTTGGGAAAGTACTTTACGTACGGACAGACAAGGGTAACACTTTATGCCCACTCCGCCTTGGCGGGGGCATAAAAACAATAAAATGCTCCGCTGGGCACAGCTTGATACGACCGCAGAGGTCGAACCCTGAACAGTTGGGGCAAGTATGGACACAACATTCAAGCTTGATACAGCACTGAATTTGGATTGTGATTAAATATTTGACACAGCATAGGTTTCTGACACAGAATGAATGTGTTCAAGAACTTAAAAATTTTATTTTAAATTTACCTATTCAAACCATATCATTATTATTTGCTTTTATATATAAATCAGAAATAACCAATTTAAAATGGAAAATTTAAAAGAAAAAATATGGATAAAAAATCCCCCCCCCCCCAATTTTTTTGAACCCCCTAATGATTCATCACCCCAAACTCAATCCCAGCCTTCCCTTTGTGGTATGGTACCTTGCAGTACAATTTCAGAGAGATCCATACTCTTGAACACAAGTTATTGTCTGGAAACTAGAAAAATGCTTGTCTTTTGGCCCCTTTTAGGCCCCTTATTCCTAAACATTTAGGGCAATTACCCCCAAACTCAAACCCAGCTTTCCCTTTGTGAAATGGAACCTTGTAGTACAATTTCATAAAGATCCATACACTTACACACAAGTTATTGTCCTGAAACTAGAAAAATGCTTGATTTTTTGCCCCTTTTTGGCCCCTAATTAATAAAAATTTTGAGGCAATTACCCCGAAACTCCATTCCAGCTTTCCCTTTGTGATATGGAACCTTGTAGTATAATTTCATAAAGATCCATACACTTAACCACAAAGTATTGTCATGAAACTAGAAAAATGCTTATTTTTGGCCCCTTTTTTGGCCCCCAATTCCTAAAATTTGGAGGCAATTACCCCCAAAATCAATCCCAGCATTCCCTTTGTGATATGGAACCTTGTGGTACAATGTCAGAGAGATCTATACACTAACACACAAGTTATGTCTGGAAGTTACAAAAATGCTTATTTTTGGCCCCTTATTCCTAAATGTTTTGGGTAATTACCCCCAAACTCAATTCCAGCTTTCCCTTTGTGATATGGAACCTTGTAGTACAATGTCATAAAGATCCATACACTTACACACAAGTTATTGTCATGAAACTAGAAAAATGCTTGTTTTTTGCCCCTTTTTTGGCCCCCAATTCTTAAAATTTGGAGGCAATTACCCCCAAAATCAATTCCAGCATTCCCTTTGAGAAATGGAACCTTGTGGTACAATGTCAGAGAGATCTATACACTAACACACAAGTTATGTCTGGAAGTTGCAAAAATGTTTATGTTTGGCCCCTAATTCCTTAACTGTTGGTACCATAACCCCCAAAATCAATCCCAACCTTCCTTTTGTGGTACTGAACCTTATGGTAAAATTTCATAGAGATCCATTCACTTAAACTAAAGTTAGAGTGCGAAAACCAATGTGTCTTCGGATGACGACGACAACGCCAACGTCATACCAATATACGACCACAAATTTTTTTTGCGGTCGTATAAAAACAGATTGTATTCTATTCTTTTAGTGACCAACAGAAGTTATCTGTTCAGAAAGATGTTCACTAACTACTGTTGATTCATTCTTATTCTTAAAGCACCAATTTTTGTGAAGTTCGTAGGTTTAGGTAAACCACAAATTTAAATGTTCAAAGCAGTAAAAATTTTCTACAGGCTTGTATACAGACCAAACCCTGAAATTAAATATCTACAAAAATCCAATTTATCTTCAATCCATGAAAACAATGAATCCACAATACCTTGACCACTGTAGTAATCACTATATTTCAACTGATCTTATGAACCTACCCTATCTATTTCGTGACACTTTTTAAGTGCATCTCCCCATTTTCCCATTCTCTGGTATGCTGCAGCACTTTCTATCTGAAACCACATGCACTGCATTTCGTTCAGATTATCTACTGCTGATACACCTTCCTATAAATAGATAATAAGTAGAAAACACCTTCCTATAAATAGATAATAAGTAGAAAACACCTTCCTACAAATATATAATATACAGAAAACAAGTTTCTTTTTTGCTTATTTTATCTCTGAATTCTTATATATTTACATGACTTCTTTGCAAGTAAAAATTCATGTTAAATCATTTTTTTTTACATGTCTAGTCTGATGACCAACAATATTGCAAGACTAACTATTTTTCTTTACATGCATATATTGTGGTAACCAAACATTTATAAAAGTAGAATGTGAGATAATATTTTGCTATTAGCAGTCAGTTTGGTTCAGTTTTGTTAAAATAAGCTAAAAAACTTTGATGGCATCTAGTCTAAAATACACAAGGAATGTTGATACATTATAATGAGTATATGCATTGTAAGTTGTTTCTCTAGGTCTTTTTGTAATTTGAATAGACATTTAAGTATGATATAAATTTAATATGAGAATTTGAGTCTAATTGGTGAACATGAATTTGACAGCTAATATCCCTTTAAACATGCCTACCCTTGTAAATTTTGAACACATTTCAGCAGACTCTGCTATTAAATTGCCTCTCAACATATACTTGGCACATTTGGAATTTATATATCTGTCAGCTGTATCTAATGACTGAGCTTCGTCCATCAACCGGACAGCCTCCTCTATATCACCAGCATGCTACAAAAGAAATAAATATATACCAGATAACTATCGTTTATTTCAAGAATAATGCAAAAATAGTCATTTTAGCAGAGTATTTATTTTTCCTATACACATAAACATGTGAAAAACAGATCTCTTGAAAAACTCTTGATCAAAAAATTTATTGCAATATTTTAAAACCACAAAATTAAAGTACATTTTGTATTCACTAATCAACAATACTTATAATTGCACACAGATAGGAGACACATTTTGTAGACCTCCATTAATAAATAAAAAAATTGTAACTGTTTTTTCCAGGTCATGTTATACCGCAAATAAAAAATCCCCAGCATACATTATATTAAAATCTTCATATTAATGAAACTTGTAATGCCAAGTTTAGTCATTTCTGGATTGTGCTATAACTTCTCTAATACAAATTTCCCTTTTCAGTCAAACCACATGCCCTTCACTACTCATCTTACTTAAGTTATTACTGCTCACTGTTAAATTATGAAATTTACTTTTTATAATGAAAAATATATAATAGCTTTTACTCACTTTAAATATTTTGGCTTTGAGTACATATAACTCTATAAGAAGTGGTGTATGTTGTAAGGCGAGATCTATATACTCTACAGATTTAAGTGTATCACCCATGAAATCATAATGACACGCCAGGAAAAAATACACCCACAATAATGTTGTCGGAGACTCTAATTCACCTTCATCTGAAAGGAAAATATAGGAAAATATTATTTTTTTATTATCAGTTTTGGAGCTATTTTCCTAATGCTTGTAGTTTAAAGGTTTGGTTGGCTTGCTTGTTTTGTTTGTATAAATGTTTGCTCAAACATTGTAATCAAGATTGACATCGCAATTAATAGATAGGCGGGGCTTCAGCTTGTATACATTATACTTAAATGTTATTGAATGTTAAGTATAATGTATACAAGGAGTTGTAAATTAACATTAAGTGTGATGTAGAAGACAAAGAGGACTAAAGACAACAGAAGTGGTCTCTGTGTGTCACTGGCAACAACTGGACTCTGTCAGGCAACATAATAAACATTGAATTATAAACACTGCAAATTTATTTTTTATGTATGAGGACTTTCTGATATTTAAGAGTGAGTGTTGAAGAGATTTACAAGCAAGACGTTTTAGGAATACTACATTTATACCTACCAGACAATGCAAACTTTTCATGAGTTTTTAAATTTTCAGCATACCCTAGAACTAAATCTTCTACGGTTCGAATCTATAAAACAAAAAAACAATATTACTGTCTACATTATAGGAAATCCTGCAAGGGAAGCATCTCAATACATTTACAATACTTCTGAGTACAGTTCTATTAGAAAGGATCTAAAATAGATCATCTTCAAAGAACTCAATCATACATATTTTCATTCTAATTTTAAATGTAAATGACTGTAAACATCGTTGAGATAACTAATAAACTGTTAACACAGAGATATGTCTCACCTTTTTGTAATTTTGATAATGCAAATGTTGAAATTAAAATAGCAATACTTTAACATGTAAGTTATGCAAATATTCAAAGTCAATGAACCATGACTGAAGGTACAGGGTTGAACAATCTCCATGGAAATGAGATGTGCCAATGCTAATACAACTGCATACCAAATACCATTGACTTATCATAAGTCGTTCCCTTTAAACAAACCTAAACACAAACATTAACTTGTAAACTATGTAAAAGTTTCAAAGTCAATGAACCATGATGAGGTGGTGGGGCTATATTATCTCCATGGAAATGAGACTTGCAAATGCCAATAAATTTGCATACCAAATATCATTGACTTAACAATAGCGGTTCATCTTAAACTGATCTAAACACAAACTAATACATGTAAACTATGCAAAAGTTACAAAGTCAATAGACCGTGACTGAGGGGGCAGGGCCAAATAATCTCCATGGAAATGAGATGTGCCAATGCTAATACAACTGCAATTCTAATATCATTGACCTACCACTAGTGGTTCACCATGAACTAGACCTAATCACAAACTAATACATTGTTGACGCTGCCGCCGGAAACAGCATACCTATGTCTCGCTTTTTGACTCTGTCGAGCCGAGACAAAATTCATTAATTGTAATATATTTCTATCTAGCATTTTGTTGGATTTTTTTACAATACTTTCTTATTCTTTAAAAAAAACCAATTGGAAATGTGGTGAAATACTAAATAAACTGCTTCGCTGAGCGCAGCTAGATACGCCCGCAGAGGTCCAACCCTGAACAGTTGGGGCAAAAATGGACACAATATTCAAGCTTGATTCAGGTCTGAATTTGGATTGTAATTAAATATTTGACATATTATAGGTTTCTGAATAAATGTAGTCAAAGAACTTGAAATAGGTTATATGAATTGAATTTATATTCAATTAAAGATTTCTGGCTGTTGTGCAATACTTAGTAAATCTGTTGTCAGACTATAAACAAATAAAGTTCAATTAATTCTCAATGTCATATTAGAAATTTATGAAAATAAAAAGGGAGCTTACATCAATAGATATAAACAATTCACCAAAGTTTCATGAGAATTGGTGACAGCATTTTTGAGTTATTGTCTGAAAACTGGAAAATCACCCCTTTTTTTAATGAATAAAACCCCATAACTCAGAAATGTAAAATGGAAAATTTATAAAACTCTAAAGGGAGCTTACATCAATACATACAAACAATTCACCAAAGTTTCATAAGAATTGCTGAAAGCATTTTTGAGTTTTTGTCCGAAAATTGGAAAATCCCCCCTTTTTTTATGAATAAAACCCTGCAACTCAGAAACGTAAAATCTTAAATTTATAAAAATCGAAAGGGAGCTCATGTCAATAGATATAAACAATTCACCACAATTTCTTGCAAGTTGGTGAAAGCATTCTTGACTTATTGTCCAAAAACTGTAAAATCCCCCTTTTTTTTAATGAATAAAACCCCACAACTCGGAAACGTAAAATCTAAATTTTATAAAAAACGAAAGGGAGCTCACGTCAATAGTTATAAACAATTCACCAAAGTTTTATGCAAATTGGTTAAAGCATTTTTGAGTTAATGTCCGACATGTTGACGACGGACGGACAGACGGGCAACGGTATACCATAATACGTCCCGTAAACGGGCGTATAAAAATAATACTGCTTTAATTGCTGTTTTTTTTTTAAACTTGTTGACAAGTTTCACACCTTACATAAAAATCAAGATGGACCAGACTCTAGTATCCACTAACAGGGAATTATTTGATATTGACTGGTAACTATACAAAATAAATGTCTTTGAAGGAACATGTGCACCAATAATTAATACATTGGAAGTCAACTGTTGGTCTTTCATACCCAATTTTTTTCTATTGAAAGACAATTAAAAAACAAAAATAGACCTACAATACATGTAAATAAAAGAGTCAAACATTTTTGCTTTATTCACTATGCATTTTGTAGATTCTTGCTTTATGCAAATGATCTCAACCTTATCTTGTCTTTGGTGAATATTTGTCTCATTGGCAATCATACATACATCTTATTATTATACTGACATAATTTTCAAATCATGTGTCATGCTGTGTACAATAGGCGAATGAATGTTTACTATTACATACCTTCAACGGATCAGAATATAATTTCTTTACAGTTACAAATAAAGGTGGTACACCCTTATGAAAAGCTCTCCTAAAATATGCATCCATCAGTCCTTTGAAATTATCCCCTGAAATAAAATTTGTAAGATTAAAATTTTTTGCATTTAATACACATACATTTGGTATGTCTTTTCGTCCAGCTTATAACAGCACCGTAGTAAAATAATAATTTTCAACTTGATATCAACAATATAACTATATTAAGGTCAAGTTACAGTAAATGGCTTATCGTCATCGCAATTTTTTACCTTTTTCACTACCAACTAGGTAACAAATTGATTTGAAGTCGGTGAACAGATGATTATTTTATATCATTAAAATGGAAATTATCTATGCAACGAGTATCATAAATGTTGGATGTTAAAATTATTTTGATTGTGCAAATTACATATGTAAGGCTTAAAAGAGTGCATTGCACAGTGGCTCTCGGAAAGAGTTTATTTCCTTGTTCTAATCTTCTGAAAACGAATCAGTAACTAGTTTACTAACCTGTTGTAAATGACAGAGGTATTCTCCTGGGGGCTGATGCACGTGGGAACTTTTCTTCTACATCTGTGTACAATTTTAATGTTTCTTCTTCTGTCTCTGGTCATATAATAAATCATAATGTATGAGAGTAAGGAAGTTTAAATTTTCTACAGTAAACTATCAATATATGTCTTGCCTGTATGTAATTTTGACAGTTAATAAAATGCTTCGCTGGGCGCAGCTTGATACGACCGCAGAGGTCGAACCCTGAACAGTTGGGGCAAGTATGGACACAACATTCAAGCTTGATACAGCTCTGAATTTGGATTGTGATTAAATATTTGACACAGCATAGGTTTCTGACACAGAAAGAATGTGGTCTAAGAACTTCAATTTTTTTAATTTACCTATTATGGTCCAATGTCCAAAATCAAAATACATGGTTAGATTCAGCATATCAAAGAACCCCATATATTCAATTTTTGTTGAAATCAAACAAAGTTTAATTTTGGACCCCAACTTGGACAAACTTGAAAACTGGTCCCATAATCAAAAATCTAAACACATGTTTAGATTCAGCATATCAAAGTACCCGAAGAATTCAATTTTTGTTAAAATCAAACTAAGTTTAATTTTGGACCCTTTGGACCTTAATGTAGACAAATTTAAAAAACGGGACCCAAAATTAAAAATCTAAAAACACGGTTAGATTTGGCATATCAAAGAACCCCAATAATTCAATTTTTGATGAAATCAAACAAAGTTTAATTTTGGACCCTTTTGACCTCAATATGAACCAATTTGATAGCGGGCCCACAAATAAAAAATCTAAATACATGGTAAGATTCAGCATATCAAAGAACCCCATATATTCAATTTTTGTTGAAATCAAACAAAGTTTAATTTTGGACCCCAATTTGGACCAACTTGAAAACTGGGCCAAAAATCTAAAATCTAAATACATGTTTAGATTCAGCATATCAAAGAACCCCATATATTCAATTTTTGTTGAAATCAAACAAAGTTTAATTTTGGACCCCAACTTGGACAAACTTGAAAACTGGTCCCATAATCAAAAATCTAAACACATGTTTAGATTCAGCATATCAAAGAACCCCAAAAATTCAATTTTTGTTAAAATCAAACTAAGTTTAATTTTGGACTCTTTGGACCTTAATGTAGACCAATTTAAAAAACAGGACCCAAAATTAAAAATCTAAATACACGGTTAGATTTGGCATATCAAAGAACCCCAATAATTCAATTTTTGATGAAATCAAACAAAGTTTAATTTTGGACCCTTTTGACCTCAATATGAACCAATTTGATAGCGGGCCCACAAATAAAAAATCTAAATACATGGTAAGATTCGGCATATCAAAGAACCCCATATATTCAATTTTTGTTGAAATCAAACAAAGTTTAATTTTGGACCCCAATTTGGACCAACTTGAAAACTGGGCCAAAAATCTAAAATCTAAATACATGTTTAGATTCAGCATATCAAAGAACCCCATATATTCAATTTTTGTTGAAATCAAACAAAGTTTAATTTTGGACCCCAACTTGGACCAACTTGAAAACTGGGCCCATAATCAAAAATCTAAACACATGTTTAGATTCAGCATATCAAAGAACCCTAAGAATTCAATTTTTGTTAAAATCAAACTAAGTTTAATTTTGGACCCTTTGGACCTTAATGTAGACCAATTTAAAAAACGGGACCCAAAATTAAAAATCTAAATACACGGTTAGATTCGGCATATCAAAGAACCCCAATAATTCAATTTTTGATGAAATCAAAGAAAGTTTAATTTTGGACCCTTTGGACCTCAATGTGGACCAATTTAAAAACGGGGCCCAAAATCCAAAAACTTAATACACGGTTAGATTCAGCATATTAAAGAACCCCAAGAATTCAAGAATAAAACCCCATTGAAATTGATCAAGAAATAAGCAATTTATACGAAGTATCTTCTTTTGCACAATACTGTGCAATTGAATATTTCTTGCTATTGCGCAATACTGTACAATTGACAATTTCTTGCTATTGTGCAATATTGTGCTATTGGATATTTCTTGCTATTGCGCAATACTGTTAAATTGAAGATTTCTTGCTATTGCGCAATACTGTGCAATTGAAGATTTCTTGCTATTGTGCAATACTGTGCAATTGAAAATTTCTTGCTATTGCACAATACTTATTATATAATAATTTACACATCCTGTTTGGTGTGTATCTCCTACCATATCATTATTATTTGCTTTTAAATATAAATCAGAAATAACCAACTTAAAATGGAAAATTTTAAAAGAAAAAAAATAAAATGCTTCGCTGGGCGCAGCTTGATACGACCGCAGAGGTCGAACCCTGAACAGTTGGGGCAAGTATGGACACAACATTCAAGCTTGATACAGCTCTGAATTTGGATTGTGATTAAATGTTTGACACAGCATAGGTTTCTGACACAGAAAGAATGTGGTCTAAGAACTTCAATTTTTTTAATTTACCTATTATGGTCCAATGTCCAAAATCAAAATACATGGTTAGATTCAGCATATCAAAGAACCCCATATATTCAATTTTTGTTGAAATCAAACAAAGTTTAATTTTGGACCCCAACTTGGACAAACTTGAAAACTGGTCCCATAATCAAAAATCTAAACACATGTTTAGATTCAGCATATCAAAGTACCCCAAGAATTCAATTTTTGTTAAAATCAAACTAAGTTTAATTTTGGACCCTTTGGACCTTAATGTAGACCAATTTAAAAAACGGGACCCAAAATTAAAAATCTTAAAACACGTTTAGAATTGGCATATCAAAGAACCCCAATAATTCAATTTTTGATGAAATCAAACAAAGTTTAATTTTGGACCCTTTTGACCACAATATGAACCAATTTGATAGCGGGCCTACAAAATAAAAAATCTAAATACATGGTAAGATTCAGCATATCAAAGAACCCCATATATTCAATTTTTGTTGAAATCAAACAAAGTTTAATTTTGGACCCCAATTTGGACCAACTTGAAAACTGGGCCAAAAATCAAAAATCTAAATACATGTTTAGATTCAGCATATCAAAGAACCCCATATATTCAATTTTTGTTGAAATCAAACAAAGTTTAATTATGGACCCCAACTTGGACCAACTTGAAAACTGGTCCCATAATCAAAAATCTAAACACATGTTTAGATTCAGCATATCAAAGAACCCCAAAAATTCAATTTTTGTTAAAATCAAACTAAGTTTAATTTTGGACCCTTTGGACCTTAATGTAGACCAATTTAAAAAACGGGACCCAAAATTAAAAATCTAAATACACGGTTAGATTTGGCATATCAAAGAACCCCAATAATTAAATTTTTGATGAAATCAAACAAAGTTTAATTTTGGACCCTTTTGACCTCAATATGAACCAATTTGATAGCGGGTCCACAAATAAAAAATCTAAATACATGGTTAGATTCAGCATATCAAAGAACCCCAAGAATTCAATTTTTGATGAAATCAAACAAAGTTTAATTTTGGACCCTTTTGACCTCAATGTGGACAAAGTTGATAACGGGGCCCAAAAATCAAAAATCTAAATACATGGTTAGATTCAGCATATCAAAGAACCCCATATATTCAATTTTTGTTGAAATCAAACAAAGTTTAATTTTGGACCCCGATTTGGACCAACTTGAAAACTGGGCCCATAATCAAGAATCTAAATACACGGTTAGATTCGGCATATCAAAGAACCCCAATAATTCAATTTTTGTTAAAATCAAACTAAGTTTAATTTTGGACCCTTTTGACCTTAATGTAGACCAATTTAAAAACGGGGCCCAAAATCCAAAAACTTAATACACGGTTAGATTCAGCATATTAAAGAACCCCAAGAATTCAAGAATAAAACCCCATTGAAATTGATCAAGAAATAAGCAATTTATACGAAGTATCTTCTTTTGCACAATACTGTGCAATTGAATATTTCTTGCTATTGTGCAATACTGTACAATTGACAATTTCTTGCTATTGCGCAATATTGTGCTATTGGATATTTCTTGCTATTGCGCAATACTGTGCAATTGAAGATTTCTTGCTATTGCGCAATACTGTGCAATTGAAGATTTCTTGCAATTGTGCAATACTGTGCAATTGAAAATTTCTTGCTATTGCACAATACTTATTATATAATAATTTACACATCCTGTTTGGTGTGTAACTCCTACCATATCATTATTATTTGCTTTTAAATATTAATCAGAAATAACCAACTTAAAATGGAAAATTTTAAAATAAAAAAAAAAGGAAAAAAAGAAAAAAAAATAAAAAAAAAAATCCCCCCCCCCAAATTTTTTGAACCCCCTTATGATTCATCACCCCCAAACTCAATCCCAGCCTTCCCTTTGTGGTATGGTACCTTGCAGTACAATTTCAGAGAGATCCATACACTTGAACACAAGTTATTGTCTGGAAACTAGAAAAATGCTTATTTTTGGCCCCTTTTTGGCCCCCAATTCCTAAACGTTTCAGGCAATTACCCCCAAACTCAATTCCAGCTTTCCTTTTGTGATATGGAACCTTGTAGTACAATTTCAGAAATATCCAAACACTTACACACAAGTTATTGTCATGAAACTAGAAAAATGCTTGTTTTTTGCCCCTTTTTTGGCCCCTAATTCCTAAAATTTTGAGGCAATTACCCCCAAAATCAATTACAGCCTTCCCTTTGTGATATGGAACCTTGTGGTACAATGTCAGAGAGATCCATACACTTACACACAAGTTATTGTCTGGAATTACAAAAATGCTTATTTTTGGCCCCTTTTTGGCCCCTAATTCCTTAACTGTTGGTACCATAACCCCCAAAATCAATCCCAACCTTCCTTTCGTGGTATTGAACCTTATGGTAAAATTTCATGGAGATCCATTCACTTAAACTAAAGTTAGAGTGCGAAAACCAATGTGTCTTCGGACGACGCCGGACGACGCCAGACGACGCCAGACGACGACGACGACGACGACGACGACGCCAACGTCATACCAATATACGACCAAAAAATTTTCAATTTTTGCGGTCGTATAAAAAGGAAAAAAAGAAAAAAAAAAAAAAAAAAAATCCCCCCCCCAAATTTTTTGAACCCCCTTATGATTCATCACCCCCAAACTCAATCCCAGCCTTCCCTTTGTGGTATGGTACCTTGCAGTACAATTTCAGAGAGATCCATACACTTGAACACAAGTTATTGTCTGGAAACTAGAAAAATGCTTATTTTTGGCCCCTTTTTGGCCCCCAATTCCTAAACGTTTCGGGCAATTACCCCCAAACTCAATTCCAGCTTTCCCTTTGTGATATGGAACCTTGTAGTACAATTTCAGAAATATCCAAACACTTACACACAAGTTATTGTCATGAAACTAGAAAAATGCTTGTTTTTTGCCCCTTTTTTGGCCCCTAATTCCTAAAATTTTGAGGCAATTACCCCCAAAATCAATTACAGCCTTCCCTTTGTGATATGGAACCTTGTGGTACAATGTCGGAGAGATCCATACACTTACACACAAGTTATTGTCTGAAAGTTACAAAAATGCTTATTTTTGGCCCCTTTTTGGCCCTTAATTCCTTAACTGTTGGTACCATAACCCCCAAAATCAATCCCAACCTTCCTTTCGTGGTATTGAACCTTATGGTGAAACTTCATTGAGATCCATTCACTTAAACTAAAGTTAGAGTGCGAAAACCAATGTGTCTTCGGACGACGCCGGACGACGACGACGACGACGACGCCAACGTCATACCAATATACGACCAAAAAATTTTTAATTTTTGCGGTCGTATAAAAACAAATGATAAAATTTAAATGCAATACTTTAATATTTAAAACTACGCAAAACATTCATAGTCAAGATCCATGACTGGAGGTGCAGGGCCAAATTATCATCAGGGAAATGAGATATGCAAATGCTAATACAACTGCATACCAAATATTGTTGACTAATCGTAAGTGGCTCTCTTAAAAATTGCCTAATCACAAACTTTAACAAATTATTGATGCCTCTGCAAACAACAACCCCAAGTCTCGCCTCTGAGACTTAGTCAAGGCAAAAAAAAATAAATGGGGAATGTGTCCATGGGACACAAATGATGCCCCCACTTGCATATAAAGTTATAAAGGGACAGAACAGTAAAAACGATGCTACCCAAATTTGAAATTTATCTGAGCTTTGTGGTAATAAGCATTGTGTATAAGTTTCATAACATTTGACTGAGGCAAACTTAAGTTAGAGAACGGAAACGAAAAATTCAGCAATTTTTCCATTTGTAAAGGGGCATAACTCTAGAACGGTAAAAGTGACGCCACCAAAATTCAATCTTGATCTGTATTTTGTGGTTATAAGCATTGTGTATAAGTTTCATAACATTTGGTTGTGGCAAACTAAATTCAGAGAACGGAAAAGAAACATTCAGCAATTTTTCCATTTGTAAAGGGGCATAACTCTAGAACGGTTAAAGTGACGCCACCAAAATTCAAACTTGATCTGTGTTTTGTGGTAATAAGCATTGTGTATAAGTTTCATACTATTTAGTTGACGCAAACTTAAGTTAGAGAATGGAAACGAACTTTGGGACGTATGGACGTACATGCAGACGGACAAGGGTAAAACTTAATGCCCCCTCTGCTGCGGGGGCATAAAAATTAACCCAACTGTGGAACAATGTAAGTGCATTCTTATCAACTTGAACAATGCAATCCATCATCTGTATACATTTCTTAATAAAGACAAGTTATGCATAATTTGGGTGTTTATCTTAAATTCATGGGACACTTTTTAAGTTCCTTCTCAGAAATCACAATGATTAAGGGCAAATTCCCATTTTCTGGAAAATACTTTATATACTAAAATGTTGAATATGATCTTTTATTTCAAATTTTTCACTTGACTCATATTCTAGAAAATCTGTGAGGCCTACAGCACATCAATTGAGAAGCCCTACTTTGCGTGCTTTTTTATGCCCAATTTTGAAAAGCACAGATTTTCAATTCCTTAAGTAGTCAATTCTCCTAACATCCTTCCTGTTACTGTAAAACAACTAATTTTCGCAAGTAGAAATATAACGTGAATATAAATCGTCGCGAATATGTTAAACTTCGATCTTGTCTCATATTAATACATCAATGAAATTATAACATCACAAAAATAAATCGCTGTGAAGTCAAATAGAAATGGCTAAGTGCGAAATAAAGTATCTGCAAAAATAAGTTGGTTTACAGCATTCTAATTTTCAGTCAGATTGTCCTGTGTAAGTAGGTTATTTGTTACCTGGTTTGATAGAATCTTCTAACCCTTTGTAGTATGCCCAGTTCTCAGGATTTCTGGTTATCAGGTCTTTATAAATATCTCCTACTTTTTCTGATCTACCAAGTTTCATTAGCAGTTCAGCTGGAAATATATATCAATTTACAAATGTGATTAACAAAACATGTAGGCATTCCAATAGAAGAAAATTAAATCAAACTATTTTACCGTATCCAAGACTTGTAAATATGTTTAGGCTACAAATTTTTTTAAATCATGGTTCATTTCAATTTTTTGTCAGTTTTTACTATTTTTAATTTATGTTCATTTTATTAAGTATCACTACTATGGTGGTTGTGCTCATTGTTACTGATAACCAAATATATAATTAGAAAAAAAAACACAAAATAAAATAGCAGATGTCTCTATGATATTCAAAATTATAGAAGAGAATAATATGGTTTGAAGTCATTTGGTATATTTGCTATTCCTTTTTCAACTTTTGAGTACATGGAGGTCTTTAAAGGCACTTTTTCAAAAATCACTTAGCAAATTTTTCAAAAAACACATCATGCTAATAAACTGCCTCGCCGAGCGCAGCTGGATACGACCACAGAGGTCCAACACTGAACAGTTGGGGCAAAAATGGACACAATATTCAAGCTTGATACAGGTCTGAATTTGGATTGTAATTAAATATTTGACACATTATAGGTTTCTGACACACAATAAATGTAGTCAAAGAACTTGAAATTGGTTATATGATTTGAATTTATATTCATTTGAAGATTTCTTGCTTTTGTGCAATACACTGTGCTGTTGCGCAATACTTAGTAAATCTGTTTTCAGACTATATACAAAGAATTAGCAAAATAAATTGTGACCCCCAATTTTTCTTTGGAAAATTGATAATTTCTTAAATCTTGGGGAAAAAATATTGACACCCCCCCCCCCCCCCCCCCCCCTTTCCAAAAAAAATAATATTTGAAGAAATTTCCTTTTTAATTTCTTAAATCTTGAGGAAAAAAAATTTCCCCACCCTTTCCAAAAAAATAACATTTGAAGAAATTTTCTTTTTGTAAATGTGGTTCAATTTAAGAGACATCAATACACTTAACAGGGTTCACCACAGAATGAAAATCAAGGATGGGGGAGAAAGTTCACCAAATCAGAGATTTTGTGTTGCGTTGTCAAATCGATTCCTTGTGCATGAATTATTAATTATATGCCTTACATGTATTTGTTATATATGTATAGCTAATTAGGAAAGGGGGTCTCACACAGATTTTGTAGTTGGTCCTATTAGTGGTCACCACACTTGTAGGAACATATTAAACAGGGAGAGTAAACACCTGATGTGGCTTCCCAGATTGCAGGAATATTTTGACAAATTTTATCTAAATTGTCTTATGGAAAACCACATGGTAAAAAGGTCTAAAAAGATAAAGAAATTAATAATAAAGAAAAATATTCAGTCATTTCAACCAAATTAAGCCTAACAAGCAGTTTCTAAAATCATATGTGTTATGTAGAATTTTATTAAATTAACTCCCCTCTTTTCCAATACAATTATGTAAAGGAATAATATATCCAGTTTTACTCTTTTCTTACTTTAAATGAGTTTTAAAGATAAGGAAACTCCTATCCCAGATCTAACTGTCTAAAATTAACAAGACAATGTTTGTCTATTATTTAGGTATTCCCAAGTATTTTCCCGCCAAAAGAGATCATGTGAATCCATTTGTTTTCTGGATTACTGCTTTTATTAATCTTGTTAGGATATAAACATTCCATTTAAGGTATAGTCAAACATATGCATAAATAAAATAACTGTAGTTTGCAAACAAGTTTTATTTTTCAAATTGAAGAAACTGGGTCATGATCGTTCATTGGTTGTTACCTTGTTCAACCATGCGAGACCATGTAAATAATATAATCAGCTGTCAGTGTACATCCCTTGAGGCAATTAACAATAATTCGACTTCTTAATTGCCACTGACATGATAATTGGATTAGGGATATCTGAAATTTAACATCAATCTATTGAATTTTCAAGTTTGGCAGACAATAAAGTAAGCGTGGCGCTGGGAATTTTAACGTGGTGCTAGAAATTTTAGCGTGGCGCACCGCCATCCTTAAATAGGTTGTGGTGATCCCTGCTTAAACACAAGTTATTGTCTAATAAAATGCTTCGCTGGGGCGCAGCTTGATACGACCGCAGAGGTCGAACCCTGAACAGTTGGGGCAAGTATGGACACAAAATTCAAGCTTGATACAGCTATGACTTTGGATTGTCATTAAATATTTGACACAGCATAGGTTTCTGACACAGGATGAATGTGGTGTAAGAACTGGAAAAAATTTAATTTACCTATTATGGTGGAATATCCATAAACTAAATTGTTTGTTAATTTCAATAGATCAAAGAATATGTAGAATTCAATGTTTGATGTAATGTAATAAAGTTGAAATTTGGACCGTTTTTGTTCAATGTGGACCAATTTGGTAACATGTATAAATAATCAAAAATCTAAATACATGGGAGCCCATTTAAATACATCATAAAGGTATTAAAATAGAAAGTGACATCATAGTCATGGCTAAAAATAAACAAAAATCCTTAATCAGCAACATTTAAAGTAATATCTAAAAATAAAATTCCTTTGTAACCATAAAAGCCCATTTAAATACATCATAAAGATATTAAAATAGAAAATGACATCATAGTCATGGCTAAACATAGCAAAAAACCCTTAATCAGCATCATTTAACAGTAATATCTAAAAAATGGAAATTACATCATAAAGGTATTAAAATAGAAAATGACATCATAGTCATGGCTAAAAATAAACAAAATCCTTAATCAGCATCAGCAACATTTTATAGTAATATCTAAAAATAAAATTCCTTTGTAACCATAAAAGCCCATTTAAATACATCATAACAGATATTAAAATAGAAAATGACATCATAGTCATGGCTAAACATAGCAAAAACCTTAATCAGCATCATTTAACAGTAATATCTAAAAATAAAAATTTCTTTGCAACCATAAAAGTAAAATAGAAAATGACATCATAATCATAGCTAAAAATAAACAAAAATTTTTTTTATTGGCAAATTTTAAATGGAGTTTATTATACTAAAACAATAAATTTGCAACCATAAACATGATAAAACCCCATTTAAACACATCATAAAAGTATTAAATAATTCAACTACATCATAAGGCTATAAAAATAGAAAATGACTTCATAGTCAAGGCTAAAGGTAAACAAAAAACCTTCATCAGCAAAATTTTATATTGGCAAATTTCCAATGAAGTTTATTACACTAAAATTGTTGGCAAATTTCCAATGCATTTATTAACAATAAAGTTATTGGCAAATTTCCAATTTACATAATTTAAAAGCAGTGTAGATGAGATATTTAAATGAGTTTGAATTACCAACCTTACACTGCTTTTAAATAATGTTCTTTACTCAATTATTTGTCTATTAAAATGGAAACCCTTGTTTTTTAACCTTTTTTCCCCTTATTCCTTAAACATTAGAGCCATAACCCCCCCCCCCCCCCAAGCCAATTATTACTTTCCAATGTAACCTAAATTTCCAATATACATAATTTTAAATTTCAGTTCCTCATGATATATAACCGTATCATTATTATTTTCTTTCATATATAAATCTGAAACAACCATCTTTAAATGGAAAATTTTAAAGAAAAAAAAAGGAAAAAAAAAAATCCTACCCCCCACACATTTTTTCAACCCCCTTTTGATTCATCATCCCCCACCTCAATCACAACCTTCAATTTGTGGTATGGTACATTGCAATACAATTTCACAGAGATCCATACACTTGAACACAAGTTTTTGTTGCAAACTAAAAAAATCCTTATTTTCGACCAATATTTGGCCCCTTATTCATAAATGTTTGAGCAATTAACCCCAAAACTCAATTCCTACTTTCTCTTCGTGATAAAAAATAACTAACTTAAAATGTAAATTTTAAACAAAAAAAAAAGGAAAAAAAAAATTACCCCTTTTTTGACCCCCGCCCCCCTTATGATTCATCACCCCCACCCCCCTTTCCCCCCAAACCAAGCTCAATAACAGCCTTGCCTTTGTGGTATGGTACCTTGTAATACAATTTTAGAGAGATCCATACACTTGAACACAAGTTATTGTCTAGAAACTAAAAAATGCTTATTTTAAACCCCTTTTTAGGCCCCTTATTACTAAACGTTTTGGGCAATTACCACAACACTCAATTCCAGCTTTCCCTTTGTGAAATGGAACCTTGTAGTAAAATTTCAGAAAGATCCATACACTTACACACAAGTTATTGTCATGAAACTAGAAAAATGCGTTTTTTGCCCCCTTTTGGCCCCTTATTCCTAAAATTTTGAGGCAATTAACCCCAAAATCAATCCCAGCATTGACCCTTTGTGATATGGAATCTTGTGGTACAATGTCAGAGAGATCCATACACTAACACACAAGTTATGTCTGGAAGTTACAAAAATGCTTATTTTTGGCCCCTAATTCCTTAACTGTTGGTACCATAACCCCCAAAATCAATCCCAACCTTCCTATTGTGGTATTGAACCTTATGGTAAAATTTCATAGAGATCCATTCACTTAAACTAAAGTTAGAGTGCGAAAACCATTGTGTATTCAGACGACGACGACGCCAACGTCATACCAATATACGACCTCAAAATTTTTTTGCGGTCGTATAAAAACTAGAAAAATGCTTGTTTTAGACCCTTTTAGGCCCCTAATTTCTAATATTGAACCTTGTGGTACAATTTCAGAGCAATCAAAACACTTATACACAAGTTATTGTCCTGAAACTAGAAAAAAGCTTGTTTTGGGCACCTTTTTGGTCCCTAATTCCTAAACGGGTGGGACCATCACCCCAAAAACAATCCCAACCTTAGTTTTGTGGTTTTGAACATTTTGCTTAAATTTCATAGAGATCCATACACTTAAACAAAAGTTATTGTCCGGAAACCAAATGTCTTCTGAGGACGACGACGACGATGTGATAGCAATATACGACCCAAAAATTTTTTTTGCGGTCGTATAAATAATACTTAAAACTCAAAAATCACTAAAAATTCCAAACAAGTGCCTATAAAGATCACCAGATATTTCTCGTCTTACCCCTTATCTCCAGTAATGATAGTTTGTCTACAATTTGACTTTCATATCTATCTAAATGATACAGAGCCTCCTCGGTCATGCCTGCCTCCCTAATTACCATATTTTGATACATGAGTAATTCACTGTGCTCATAATCTCCAGCTTTAGGCTACAAACAAAAACATATTCATTAGACATTGTTTAAAATTAAATTTTTCGCACTAAAGTTTTGGACATTACAGTCCAAGAGACTGAGAGCTACATTCAATAAAGAGATAAGATAATTACAATCTGTTTTATGTATTTTCTAAAAATGGTGAATGTTCATTATGATGGATTACTTGATTATGACAATGTCTTTTTAAACAATTAAACTACTCACCATCTGTGTCTTTCGGAATTCTTCTAGAATACTTAGTGCCATATCAAAATCCTTCAGCAAATGATAAGACATGGCGTAACCAATCCACGAAGCTCTTTGTCCAGGACGTAAAACTAAAAGCTGGTACCGAGTTTCCTGAACAAAGAAGCAGCTAATTATTGTCAAATCAAGAGCTATAAAATAAGTTATTTCACACCACTCTGCTTTTTATTATTATTCGGCTATTGAAACAGTCCTACTTTGATATTAATTATAACAACTAAATAAGGCATTTCTTAAATGCAGAATTCAATTATAGGATGCCCATCATTCAGGTTTGTGAGCAGAAACAGATTCAGACTATATAAGGGAAATCCCAAATATGACTCCAATTTGAATTTCATCTGTGCTGGGAAAGAGGGGGGGGGGGGGTCAGTTGGCTATTCAACCACCTATCAACCCTTATTTAACTGGCAGCATAATCAATTTAGAGAGCATGTTAACAAAGATATATGTATAATAAATTCTAAACATTCAACTGTAGACTAAGTTTTTTTCACATTAACTTTTCGTTTTCCTTTCTAAATAGCTCAAGACACTTCATACTACTGTAATCAACAACTAAACAAAGTGATGTCACTGCACTCCTTTCTGAAGTAACTGTATTATACCAAGGTAAATGTAGGACTTTCTTTGAGATATTATTGTGTCTGGGAGACACAAATGATGCCCCCGCAGATGCAAAGTGTTATTCTAAAATACAAAAAGTTGAGCATGTGACCACATAGGTCTATGGTTCTCTGTAGGAGGAGTTATCCAGAAATGCTATGCACCTCTTATGCAAGTATATACTCCAAAAATGACAAAGTTCAACTATCTCCCAAAAGAGTAAATATTAATAAAAATCAAAACCCTGACCAAATGCACAACTTCAATATATGTACAAACAGCCAGCAAAGTAAAAACTTCATAGCATTCAAACTGTAGGAGTTATCTGGAATAATCATATACTCATAATGGGACAGATGGACAGACAGAAGGACCGACAGGGGTAAAACAATATACCCCCGAACTTTTCAGTTGCGGGGGCATAAAAATTTTTTTTGATATACTGTATGGTAACTTTGTACATAAGCAGAAGAGAATTCAATATTTTCATATTCTCTACTCTGATTAACTAGTCGATTGTGTTTAGCCTGATAACACTATTACTTACTCGATAACCTTCAAGGTCTCTCATTTGTATCTGTAGTAAAGACAAGTCCCTCAAGATTTGTAGATTATCCTATGCAAAATATATACAATTCAAATGCAATGTTATAATCAAATTTATGTACTATATAGTTAGTGCCTGTCTCTATTAGTAAACATATCCCAAAAAGCTTGTTGAACTTCATATACATGTAGAATATTCAAGTCTTATTCTTTAAATATTACATCTCTGAAGAGTTAGTATATTAAATTATAGAAATGCTTTTTTGATATACAGATAATTTACTGTTTTTTGTAAATTGGTGTGCAGTTAAAATACTTTGAATATTTGCCCATATCAATTTTCCAATCTTTGCTGGAAATTTTATTTGGTTGGTTCGTGTTGCTCAGTATATTTTTCTATATACTGTGGACTCATTATCATTCATTGGATACCAATCTTCGTGGATTAAGTGGGTACAGGGGTACCAAGAATTTAAAAGTTCAACAAATTTCAATTTTTTTCATATAGGAATGTACAAGTTAATTTTTAAAAACATGAAATCAAATCTCAACAAAATTGCAAATTTACCTCATTCCACGAAAATTGGTACCTACGAAATAAATAATTCCACAGTAGTGTTTTGTGGACTTGTTCGTCTTTCTGTCATCTTTCATTTTTTGCCATGGCCTGTCATTTTGTCTTCGACTAATGCAAGTTTTTATATCCCCTTAATATCTTCCACCTTTTTATTATGTGACTAGGCTTCCACTAGCTTTCATGTCCCTGTTGTGATAGATAACTGGTTTTCTTCAAGACATGCAAGACATTTTTTTCAAGTTTTTTACTAAATAATACAATCATACCTTATCCCACTTTAAAGCATTTCTGTAGGCCTTTATAGCTTCATCATATTTTCTCTCAGATCTTTGTAAAAGTCCATAAACATGCCAACCTAGTGTTATTTAAGGAATAACATTGTTCTTCTTGCCCTTTTGAAATGGCTTGGTATACAATACCTTTTTTTAACACTACTTATAGAGTTTCATCTTAAGACTTCATGCTTTTACTTTTCAAAACTTCTCTGTATCACAGAAATTAAATATCAAAGTGCCATTACTGTGCAAAAATGTAGTTTTGAAAATTATACTGGTAATTCCAAATTATGGTAACATTTTAAAGTCAGCACTTCTGCTAAATAAGCATTCTGGCCTTCCCCCTCTGCAGATTTCTTGGAATTATATGAGCCTAGAACTGTGCAAAATCTGGCATTATTTAAGCCTAATGTGCATCTTACATGATATGTGGTATGATTGCTAATGAAACCAAGAGGTGGGACCAAGCAACTATAGGTTTAACTTTTGCTTTTAAAGTTTATTAATCAATTTGCTGTAATGTGATAATGTATAAGAAAGCATTATCGTTGATAATATTTCAACATGCACCTATAGCTTTTGAAAATTGTGTGTTCATCTTATGTTTCAAGTTTAATGGAATTTACAGTTGGTTAATTTTTTCTTTAATAAAAAGACAAAAGGATACAGACGTGACTTCGTAGATCATTACGTAAACCTCTCTTTACATGGTCTAAAGCTTCTTCTTTCCTCCCAAGGCAATTTAAAGTCAGACCTTTCATAGCCAAAGTTTCTGGAAAGAAAATATGTAAATCATAATATCACAAGATCTAAATAAAAATCTGAATATTCTTGTGCAGTGAAAGAGGTTGAATGTATCCAGGAAAATATTATTGACGATAAAGTTAACTTTACTGTAGAAAATGTAGTTTTGAAAATAATAATTGTAATTCCAAATAATGGTAAATTTATATAGTCGGTACTTCTTCGGAATGTGCATTTTGGCCTTCCTGTCTGTGCAGATTTCATGAAATTATAATGCATTTCTTATTCTTGTTACCTTTTTATATGTAATAAAATGCTTCGCTGGGGCGCAGCTTGATACGACCGCAGAGGTCGAACCCTGAACAGTTGGGGCAAGTATGGACACAACATTCAAGCTTGATACAGCACTGAATTTGGATTGTAATTAAATATTTGACACAGCATAGGTTTCTCACACAGAATGAAAGTGGTCTAAGAACTTAAAAATTTTTAATTTACCTATTCATACATGTGATGGACTGTGAAACTCAGATCAGGAGATTGGGAAATTTTGGTCAGGAGATTAGGACTCAGATCAGGAGGTTTTTAATCGACATAAATTTTGTCGTAAATGTAACAGTGTGCTGTAAAAATGGTCTTTTAAAGTGTGTTTTCTTCAACTTTCCATCCAAATTTATTATGTTTATAGTACCCTTGTACTTATAAAGTTTCTCCATCTTTATATTCTACATGTTCAATCTAACATTGTTTTTTTTCAGTATGTTCTTTAAATTTTTAACTTCATATTCTATAAAACAATCATTGCAACAAGAACATTTGTTTAACTATCTGCAAATAGATTTTATTTGCATACTCAGAAAATCATTCTAACTGTAAAACAAGGGTCATAGTTATTATATAAATTTCAATTTAAGACTTGAAAGGAAGTATAGAATCCTCAAATAATTTTCAAATTATTATTTTTTTATTTGTCCTAAGACATTTAAAATCATTTAATTACCATCCTTTTATGATTATTTGTTCAATTTATATTTTATTTATATTCTTTTAAAAATTTTCATTATTAAAAGGAAAGTAACTTAAAACAGGATAAATCAAGGGAAGTAACCCAATAAATACAGTTTTTGTTACACAACGGCAGTTAGCCTGAGGTAAAAATCGTTGATTACCGGTATGTTTGACACCCAAGCTGACAAGTGAAGCCATATAATTATGCATGTTAATTGATTTACAGGTAAAATATAACTTCAGGTAATGTCAGTTACACCAGATGCCTGAGATGATATGTTGGGCAGAAATTTTTCATTCATGAAAAATTTCATACACGGGATTTTTTCCTCTCCAACGAAGGTCGGGAGGAGACCCCTTAAAACGGGATTATTGTTCTCCCGTCGGGAGGTTCACATGTATGCTATTCAAACCATATCATTATTATTTGCTTTTATATACAAATCAGAAATAACCAATTTAAAATGGAAAATTTTAAAGAAAAAAAAGGAAAAAAAAATCCCCCCCCCCAAATTTTTTTGAACCCCCTTGTGATTCATCACCCCCAAACTCAATCCCAGGTTTCCCTTTGTGGTATGGTACCTTGCAGTACAATTTCAGAGAGATCCATTCACTTGAACACAAGTTATTGTCTGGAAACTAGAAAAATGCTTGTTTTTTTGCCCCTTTTTGGCCCCAAATTCCTAGATGTTTAGGGCAATTACCCCCAAACTCAAACCCAGCTTTCCCTTTGTGATATGGAACCTTGCAGTACAATTTCATAAAGATCCATACACTTACACACAAGTTATTGTCCTGAAACTAGAAAAATGCTTGTTTTTTTGCCCTTTTATGGCCCCTAATTACTAAAATTTTGAGGGAATTACCCCCAAAATCAATCCCAGCATTCTCTTTATGGTATGATACCTGGCAGTACAATTTCAGAGAGATCCATACACTTGAACACAAATTATTGTCCTGAAACTAGAAAAATGCTTATTTTTTGCCCCTTTTTGGCCCCTTATTCCTAAACATTTTGGGCAATTACCCCCAAACTCAAACCCAGCTTTCCCTTTGTGATATGGAACCTTGTGATACAATGTCAGAGAGATCCATACACTTACACACAAGTTATTGTCATGAAACTAGAAAAATGCTTGTTTTTTGCCCCTTTTTGGCCCCTAATTCCTAAAATTTGGAGGCAATTACCCCCAAAATCAATCCCAGCATTCCCTTTGTGATATGGAACCTTGTGGTACAATGTCAGAGAGATCCATACACTTACACACAAGTTATGTCTGGAAGTTACAAAAATGCTTATTTTTGGCCCCTTTTTGGCCCCTAATTCCTTAACTGTTAGTAGCATAACCCCAAAAATCAATCCCCACCTTCCTTTTGTGGTATTGAACCTTATGGTAAAATTTCATTGAGATCCATTCACTTAAACTAAAGTTAGAGTGCGAAAACTAATGTGTCTTCGGACGACGACGCCGACGCCGGACGACGACGACGACGACGACGCCAACGTCATACCAATATACGACCACAAAAATTTTTTTGCGGTCGTATAAAAATAGCTTTAGGTAATAATTTTCCTCTATTAAAAGAGGCATATACACAATCAAAGACACTACATCACATGAATATAACATCATGGTATGGTTCAATAAATGTTGTTTTTAAAATACTTGGTATTGACTATACAAATGCCATAAATGCTCCATTTTGTGAATCCTTATACAAATTTAAGAAATATATACAAACCAAGCTATCAATATTGTTTATTAGCTGTTGGAAAAAACAAATAGATAAATTTTCAGACAGTAAACTGAAAACCTACCTTTTATATAAAACAAATTTTGGTTTTGAAAAATATCTAACATTGATCAAGAATTTTGAACTTAGAAGAAGTTTTACTAAATTACGTGTATCTTCTCATAGATTACAAATAGAATTAGGTAGATATCAGGGTATTCCCCGAATTAACAGAATATGTAATAAATGTTCTTCCAATACTGTCGAAGATGAGGCTCATTTTCTATTTGATTGTAACAAATTTGAGGATGATAGAAATTGTATGTTAGCTAGTATTGCACAATATAATTCTTATTTTAATCATATGAACAGTCAAAGCAAAATTATCTGGTTATTTAGTGTAGAAAATGTTGAGTTACTTAAAATAATATGTAATTTTATATACAAACATCTTCCTTAGTGAAGATTAGTTAAAGGAAATCTATGTGTGTATATACATTTGATTGGACATAGAAAATTATATTCATCTGAATATCACAAACATACTAGCCGATTAAAAAAAAAAATAATTGTTAAGATATATTATTTATTCAAATGTTCTCTTATATCCTTGAGGCATCGTCCCCTGGTATCAACTGCATTCAAGTTACCTATGATGCTTCCTTGTTTGCTTTTGATACAGGTAGGAAAGAGACATTTACACACATTTTACATGCCTATGGCCCATAAGGTATCGCCCCCTGGTGTCAGCTGCCTTTAGGAAACCATAATGCTTTCCTATTTGCTGCTGACACAGGATGAGTCATGGACATGTTTAATTTCTACTTTCTTTTTGGCTAATTATTATATATTTAATTGATCCAACTTTTTGTGTACTATACATATGTGGATATCTATTTTTCTTTTTTTCTTTTTGGGCTGCTTGTTTGTTATCTATATCAACCACACTTGCAATAAAATGCATTAGTATTAAAAAAAACAACATACTATAGATTCTTTATCTACGTATTCTTTAAGAACTTAAATAGTTCTCGTTTAACTTTTTTTTTTTTTTTTATCTCATTGTTTGTATTGTATTATGAAAAAATTATTGATGTTGTAATGTTTATGCCCTTTGGGGCCCATAATTGGAAATAAAAAAAAAATATCTATCTTAATATATGAATCTTTTCCTTTTCAGTTCACTAAATAAATTACTTGTAATTGTTATTCAATGCAGTGTTTTCCCTGAAAGGTTTATGCATGGTGGTGCCCAAAGACATTAAATTTGGGCCCCCATCCTTTGAAATTTGAAATGCCCTAATACTCTATATAAGCCCCATCCTTCAAAATTCATAAACACTATCCTTTCAGTCAATCACCTTTCCTTCAAACAATTTCTAGGCAAAACACTGCAATCACTTGAATTTTGAAATAAAGTCAAATGTACGATGTGTGGTTTATGTCCTAAAAAAATAGGGTAGGTATTCAGAATTATATTACTTTAAGGCTCTATAGGGAACTGTTTTGGACTATGTTCATAAAATGTGTTAGGTTAAGCATGAAAATTGAGGGTAGGTATGGAGGCAGTGAACAGTACTATATCTTTTTGGCCTGATTATAATTGAATTAAACATAGAGTCAAAGCAACACATCAATGACAGGTTTTTCAAAAAGAGACCTGTTGAGGATGACAACTTACAACCAAGTAGATGTACAGTTGCAAAAGACACCAAACTTATAAATCAACCTTTTTCGTGGGAAACTTGTTTTAAGGGCATAGCAAAAGAAGTGATATTAGACATGTCATTTAATACAACTTACTCTTAAAATCCTGACCATATACAGGAAAGGTAGTAAAATATATTACCTCCATGTTCAGCAAATTTAGCATTGCCTAAAATCTGTTTGGCAAACTTCAACCCATTTTTGTACTGCTTCTGTTCATAACATTTCTACAAAAGAAAAACAACTATTATGTTATATTCTTATTTTCAGCAAATCTGTAAAGCCTTGAATACATTTGGGGTACTAATGGTATAAGCCTGTTTAACAATTCAGAAAATCATTACCAAGATTGTGAGATTATTGCCAGTCAAGTCCTACTTTTGAACATATACAGTACAAGTAGTCATATTACTATAGACGTCTTACAATGACAAGATATCGGAATGGTCCAACAGTTGTCAGAGTGTAATTAACACCTGTGTTATTACCTGTGCAATACATGTACCTGCTGGAAGGTTGTAAATCCATCTGTACCTTCCCGATTAAATTTCAATTTTACCAATAGACAGATATTTTAGTATTTATGGAGGATAGATACATGCTTTTAACAATGTATTGTTTACCCTAAATATTTCATAATATTCAAATTTGTTTACCCTAAATATTTCATAATATTTAAATTGAAAACATTTTATGAGGGCACTTTTGAATTTTGGATCAGGATTATACGAATTTTGTTGGGTTTGATAGAAGCTTCTTTATGATATAATTATTGCAATCATAGACTTATTTGCCTAATTGTGTGCCTATTGTACATCGAAACTGTTCATTCCAAAAAAAGACGACTTTCTTTTTAGATGTTTGTGCACCTGCCATTATGGGACTACTTCGAGGAATGTTTCTCATTTTTATGGAACTTCAGACATCTTTCAACAAAACTTATGAAAAAGGGTACAAGTTTGTATAATTAACTCCTTCTAGTTTTTAACCAAGACCCGTCTTTGTTCTTACTCCTTAATGCTGCGTGTTATGCATAGAAGCAGCAAATACCATTTGAATGTCTTTGATTTGATCCAGCTGGGTTCGAAACCATGACCTCTCACTTGAGCATGTTGAGACAAACTGGCTACCATGAGACCACAGAGGCAGTTCAAATAAAGATATGCAAATGCTAACACAATTGCATACCAAATATCATTGTCTTATCACAATTAGTTCCCCTTTAACTGATACAAACTTTTAACATGTAAACTATGCAAAAGGTTCATAGTCAATAGACCATGACTGAGGGGCAGGGCCAAATAATCTCTATGGAAATGAGATGTGTCAATGCTTATACAACTGCAAACCAAATAAAAAATAAATTGCTTAGCCGAGCGCAGCTGGATACGACCGCAGATCCAACCCTGAACAGTTGGGACAAAAATGGACACAATATTCACACTTGATACAGGTCTGAATTTTGATTGTAATTAAATATTTGACACATAATAGGTTTCTGACACAGAATAACTGTAGTCAAAGAACTTAGAATTGGTTATATGATTTGAATTTATATTCAATTTTTTGCTTTTGTGCAATACACTATGCTGTTGGGAATTGACCCCCCCCCCCCCCTTTTTTTTGTTTTTGTGCAATACACTATGCTGTTGCTGTTGTGAATTGACCCCCCTCCCCCAAAAAAAAATTTGTTTACCCCCCCCCCCTTTTTTTTCTTTTTAATTTCTGAAATCTGAAATGAGAAAAATTGCCCCCCCCCCTCACATTTTCTTTTTTATCCCTCCCCCCCCCCCCCCCCTTTAACAAACAAAAAAAAAAAATTTCCCTTAAGATATGGTCATAATGTCAATTCAAATTTCTTATGGAGTTTGCAACCATAATTTCCCATTTAAATACATCATAAAAGTCTTAAAATAGAAAATGACATACATAATCATGGCTAAAACTAATATATTGAATATTCCTTAATTAGCATTTTTAAATAGTAACTTCTAAAAATAAATTGACAGCTAATCACCTCAATACAATACAACATGTCTTTATACATAATTTAAAAGGTATGTAAGGGAGGTAATTCAAACTTAACATAGTACTTCTTTTGAATTGTCCATTAACCAGGAAACCCTTGTTTTCCCCGTTTTTTGCCCCTAATTCCTAAACAGTTTGAGCCATAACCCCCAAAATCAATCCCAACCTTCCTTTTGTGGTTATAAACCTTGTGTTTAAATCTCATAGATTTCTATTTACATTTACTAAAGTTATTGTCCAGAAACAAAATGTCTTCGGACGACGCTGACATACCAATATACGACCACAAAATTATAATAAAATGCTTCGCTGAGCGCAGCTTGATACGACCGCAGAGGTCGAACCCTGAACAGTTGGGGCAAGTATGGACACAACATTCAAGCTTGATACAGCTCTGAATTTGGATTGTGATTAAATACTTGACACAGCATAGGTTTCTGACACAGAAAGAATGTGGTCTAAGAACTTGAATTTTTTTAATTTACCTATTATGGTCCAATGTCCAAAATCAAAATACATGGTTAGATTCAGCATATCAAAGAACCCCATATATTCAATTTTTGTTGAAATCAAACAAAGTTTAAATTTGGACCCCAACTTGGACAAACTTGAAAACTGGTCCCATAATCAAAAATCTAAACACATGTTTAGATTCAGCATATCAAAGTACCCCAAGAATTCAATTTTTGTTAAAATCAAACTAAGTTTAATTTTGGACCCTTTGGACCTTAATGTAGACCAATTTAAAAAACGGGACCCAAAATTAAAAATCTAAAAACACGGTTAGATTTGGCATATCAAAGAACCCCAATAATTCAATTTTTGATGAAATCAAACAAAGTTTAATTTTGGACCCTTTTGACCTCAATATGAACCAATTTGATAGCAGGCCCACAAAATAAAAAATCTAAATACATGGTAAGATTCAGCATATCAAAGAACCCCCAAGAATTCAATTTTTGATGAAATCAAACAAAGTTTAATTTTGGACCCTTTTGACCTCAATGTGGACAAAGTTGATAACGGGGCCCAAAAATCAAAAATCTAAATACATGGTTAGATTCAGCATATCAAAGAACTCCATATATTCAATTTCTGTTGAAATCAAACAAAGTTTAATTTTGGACCCTGATTTGGACAAACTTGAAAACTGGGCCCATAATCAAAAATCTAAATACATGTTTAGATTCAGCATATCAAAGTACCCTAAAAATTCAATTTTTGTTAAAATCAAACTAAGTTTAATTTTGGACCCTTTTGACCTTAATGTAGACCAATTTGAAAACGGAACCAAAAATTAAGAATCTAAATACACGGTTAGATTCGGCATATCAAAGAACCCCAATAATTCAATTTTTGATGAAATCAAACAAAGTTAAATTTTGGACCCTTTGGACCTCAATGTGGACCAATTTAAAAACGGGGCCCAAAATCCAAAAACTTAATACACGGTTAGATTCAGCATATTAAAGAACCCCAAGAATTCAAGAATAAAACCCCATTGAAATTGATCAAGAAATAAGCAATTTATACGAAGTATCTTCTTTTGCACAATACTGTGCAATTGAATATTTCTTGCTATTGTGCAATACTGTACAATTGACAATTTCTTGCTATTGCGCAATATTGTGCTATTGGATATTTCTTGCTATTGCGCAATACTGTGCAATTGAAGATTTCTTGCTATTGCGCAATACTGTGCAATTGAAGATTTCTTGCAATTGTGCAATACTGTGCAATTGAAAATTTCTTGCTATTGCACAATACTTATTATATAATAATTTACACATCCTGTTTGGTGTGTATCTCCTACCATATCATTATGATTTGCTTTTAAATATTAATCAGAAATAACCAACTTAAAATGGAAAATTTGAAAAGAAAAAAAAAAGGAAAAAAAGAAAAAAAAAAATCCCCCCCCCCAAATTTTTTGAACCCCCTTATGATTCATCAACCCCAAACTCAATCCCAGCCTTCCCTTTGTGGTATGGTACCTTGCAGTACAATTTCAGAGAGATCCATACACTTGAACACAAGTTATTGTCTGGAAACTAGAAAAATGCTTATTTTTGGCCCCTTTTTGGCCCCCAATTCCTAAACGTTTCGGGCAATTACCCCCAAACTCAATTCCAGCTTTCCCTTTGTGATATGGAACCTTGTAGTACAATTTCAGAAATATCCAAACACTTACACACAAGTTATTGTCATGAAACTAGAAAAATGCTTGTTTTTTGCCCCTTTTTTGGCCCCTAATTCCTAAAATTTTTAGGCAATTACCCCCAAAATCAATTACAGCCTTCCCTTTGTGATATGGAACCTTGTGGTACAATGTCAGAGAGATCCATACACTTACACACAAGTTATTGTCTGGAAGTTACAAAAATGCTTATTTTTGGCCCCTTTTTGGCCCCTAATTCCTTAACTGTTGGTACCATAACCCCCAAAATCAATCCCCACCTTCCTTTCATGGTATTGAACCTTATGGTAAAATTTCATGGAGATCCATTCACTTAAACTAAAGTTAGAGTGCGAAAACCAATGTGTCTTCGGACGACGCCGGACGACGACGACGACGACGACGACGCCAACGTCATACCAATATACGACCAAAAAATTTTCAATTTTTGCGGTCGTATAAAAATCAGTAATCTGATGTACAAATTTGTGAGAAATTGTTTGCTCCTCAAAAATGATCTATAACTATCATTGAAGGTAACGTATTTTCATAATTTTAACAAATATTCTGAAAGGCTGATATGTCTTCTATTCAATTTTACCTGGTTAGGGTGTACGGGATGGTCATATAGATGTAAATGGCAACGGTTTGAGGTAAAGTAGTTTATAAAAAAAAAATTCTGATGAGTAAATAGAGCTTTATAAGGCATTTCAAGGTCAGCCAAATCAGAAAATCTTTCCTGACATGGAATCCCAATTGGGATTACCGAAAAAGTATGATGATTAATAAACAGGTTGGGGACAACCCGCCAAATGAGTAACATTCCCTCATTTGAGTAATCATTTGCTAGTGCTAAAAAACAAAATTTTTTTAATGGAGTCTTTTTTCTTAAAATGGCACATATTCATGAAAAATGCAGCAAATTTTCCAAAAGATGAATAGACCTATCTTGATTTACTGCGAAGTTACAAGCCTATGAAAACTTCGAAAAAATTGACAATTTTCAAGGCTACTAACTGTTTAAAAACCCATTATAAAAATATAGTTCTTTGGAAGAAGTTATTTCCATTTTTTATAAATTTGTGCCATTTGAAGTAAAAAAAAATTTAGCACTATCAAATGGTTACTCAAAGGGGGGATTGTTACTCATTTGGCAGGTTGTCCCCAACCTGATTAAACAAACATGCCACAATCACTTTAACTTGAGGATCTCAGGCAACATTTGAATTGAGGTATAATCGGCAAATTAATGGTTATTCCCGACCTGTTTAAGTGTCACAGATTCCCAAATAATGATTCGCTCTAAAGAATTTAACCATTCCCCATAGGTCTGCATCTATTTGTACATTTATGGACTTCCTAACAGTTCAAGCATGCAAAATCATGATGCAGATAAATATTCCATGGGAAACTATGAGCATGGCTAATCAATCGTTGAATTTTCGCTTACTATGAGCAACATACATGTCATGTATGATGATAACCAGTGCCCCTGATGGAGAAGAAATAGTTAAGTCTGAAAAAACACAAGTTCACCTCCAGTTTTCCTATGGGGTTCCTGATGCAAAATCTTTGGTTAGTCTGTTCAGGTTTTATGTTAAGTTCGTGGTAATATTTGTCTTTCTTTAAATTAAAGAATAGTGATTGCCTCCTTGGTAACTTCCCCCCTTTTTAGGAAATGTGCAAACTCACTCACCAATATTCTTTTAAAGAGGGCATTTTCTTTGGGAGGTAGTGGATTGTTAGTGGGCATTTTGCTCTAGGGATCTGTGTTTGCTTTATAAACAGCTATTTCCATAGGAAACAGGATACACAACCACGAGGATGCTATCCAACATGGAGGAAGCAATATTTCCGGTGTTCTCGCTGTTTCGTTATTGACATTTCGAAGCTTTCATAGAACAAAATAATGTATCAAAATGTTATGTTGAGTCAAATATTTGGAATAAATTAATTACTAATGCCAAATTATTTAAAAGGAAAGAGGAATGGAAATAGACATTGATAAAGTCAGTAAAACGTTTTGGCTAAGGTACATTTAATAGATCTTTTAAGCTTTTATATGACATTGAAGAAGCAACGACGAATAATATTGGAATGTGTCAAAATTTTGGAAAACAATGAAATATACATTTTCCCAATATATATAATACGTTACATACATGATTAAACTACCATTGCAACATAATGGACCCATTAGCAAACTCTAAGACTGTTGACAATACACATGAAGAACAATTTGAATCATCTGTTACAGTCATTGAAAAACAAGCACAAAAGAGAATTTTCAAAATTATTGTTATAGGAGACTCTAATGTTGGCAAAACATGTTTGACGTACAGATTTTGTTGTGGAAAATTTCCAGATAAAACAGAAGCAACTATTGGTGTTGACTTCAGAGAGCGAATGGTAGAGGTTGACAAGGAACAAATTAAAGTAAATACTAATGAAAGAGAAATGTCATCCTTCCATCCCCTTTTATTGGTCATTACCCAAAATCTTGCACCATTTAAAAGCACTCTCTTTTTAGATATTTGTTGCTGATGACATCATTTTTATTTAAATTTCCAAGTACAGAAATAGAAGACTACCATTCAATTAACTTAATGGTTACTATAAATGAGATTTTAGAGAGTAGAAATTAATTAGTTTATATTTGCTATTGAATAAAAATTGCATATTAATATGGATAAGGTAAATTATTAGTTTTGAAAATGATAAGAGCGCCGTCTACAATTTCAATAACAAACAGCAGAATGTAAACAAACCTTGCGAAATTGAATTTTTTCTCTTATTTCTTGCTTATCGCATTCTATAGTCCGCATCCCTGTCTGGCAGGTTCAATTTTGGAAAATAAATCCCCAGACTATACAAGCCGGAAATCACTATTTTTTTTTTTATTTATTTTTTTTTTTATTGATTTCCTTACTGTAATTGGGGACTTTATCCCCATATTAGGTACATGTAACATTTATCTTGCGCCTTTGTGAAATACAGATGAGTCAAAAAGCCCAAATGTGTCAAAATTTTGCAGGGAAAATTATTTAGTTTTGGCAATTTATTGGTAATTTGGCGTCTTTAAAAACATCTAATCGAGGCAAATGTACTACTTATAAGCATAAACGTTGTGAAAATGTCTATGTTACCATATATATAATTCACAAACAAAAAACAAATATGAAGCTTAGAAATGGAAAAATATTAAATACTAAACTCGTTCAAAGGGTATCTACACGTCTCAATCTTCAAAATTGCTTATCTAAAAATACTACCATCGCTAACATTTTTAACAATAAAAATCGTGGTTACCCTTCTATCGATAAGTGTCATGCCAAAAAATGACTTACATGTCCCTGTCTTTCCACCAACAATACGGTAAGGTCCACGTACGTAGGTGAAACTGGACGATATTTATCTAAACGCACTCAAGAACATCTGTATCGTTTTAAAAGACCCAATAAATTCAAAAGTATCATTTATCAACACCTTAAGAAGCACAATCATCCTATTAAATATTTAGCAGTTCAACCTTTAGAAGTAGTAAATAGGCAGCCTGGTGAATCTCATTCAAAGTTTGTACGATCGCGGAAAATAATTGAATTAAATTGGATTAAAAAATTACAGACAGTCTACCCTCTCGGTCTTAATGATAATATCATGGGAATTGGTAATATATCAAGAACCGATTCTGTTAACATTTTGGATATAGTTTCTAAAACTGTTCGTAAAAACCGTTCTCATAGTCGTAGAAAAAATGGCAATCAAAGAAAATTTCGGACCAATCATACCAATATTTCGGACCTAATTTCTATTTCAAAAAACAACGGCAGACATTATCTGTTAACAATTCTCTGTTCATTACCGGTTAATAAGTTAAATAAAATTTTAGAGGATTGCAACACAATTTCATATAGCAGTCCTAAGTATGAAATCGTTCAAATTATAATGGCATATTGTTATTCTAAAATGTTTCCCAAAATTGATCGCCCTGAAGATCATCAAAAACAGTTTATTAAAATAAAGTATGTCAATAAAGGTTTTGATTTTGTAAATATTGCCGGTATTTTTAACGACCATTCTGTTAAAGAACAAATTCAGGGATATTTTAATAATACTGAGCTCCCTCTTATTTGTTATATTTACAAGAAATCTACCCGGAAATTTGTGTTTAATTATAGCCAATTGTGTAAAGATGTTAATATCAATGAAAATACACCTACTTTATGTAATTGCAGTAATTCCGAATACATTTATGGACCCATTTCCCATGTTATAACAGGAGATCTTAACATCGTTCAAGAAAGAGAGTTAAAATCATTCCTCAGTAAAGGACCTAAATATCGTCCCCTGTCAATTATTAATTGGAATGAGGGTCGTAATATAATCCACGACTCACTCCATACTTACTGTTTGAAATGGATAAAACGGGAAAAAGCTGACAAAAAATCTTTGGACTCTTTTTTTAAATCAGTAATGAACATAGTTGATATACGTATTCAACATTTTAAAGAACATTTTACTCTTAACAATAACCACAATAAACCTATTTCTCGTATCAAACATAAACTAAAAGAACTAGCCAAGGAATTTGTTTTTGTCCCGGCCGATAAAGCTGCTAATAATATTATTATTGTTTGACGTAAATTTTACATTGAGGTTCTGAACTAAGAAATCACCAATTCACCAACATTCCAACTGACTCCATTTTCAGAAAACGACATCTGTAACAAACATAAACTTTTAGCTACCCCTCTACAAGCAGAACCAAATACAATGAAAGTCCCAACTATGTATTGGCTTCCTAAGCTACACAAAACACCTTACAAATATAGATTCATTTCGTCTTCAAGCCATTGTTCCACTACTAAATTGTCTATTCTTCTTACCAGTACACTTGGTACAATCAAAAACCTGATTATAAATTGTTCAAATAAGGCCTTCGAAAATAGTGGAATTAATTACTTTTGGAGTGTCAAGAACTCGTTGGAAGTACTTGATAAATTGCATGCATATATTGGTGATTTTGAATCTGTTCAAAGTTTAGATTTTTCTACCCTATATACCACATTGCCTCACATTCTCATTAAGAAAAAATTCACACACCTAATTAAATGGGCATTTAAAAAGTCAGAATGTGAATATATATGTTCAAACTCTTTTAGGTCATTTTTTAGTAGCAATAAACAAAAAAACTATGTCAATTGGACATGCTTTGATACTATATATGCCCTTGAATTTTTACTAGATAACATTTTTGTTCGCTTTGGAGATTCCGTATATCGTCAGGTTATCGGAATTCCAATGGGGACTAACTGTGCACCACTTATTGCGGACCTTTTTTTGTATTGCTATGAGTTACAATTTATGACAAAAATCAGCAAAGACCTATTGAAACAACATCTGATACACAAATTTAATAATACTTTTAGATATTTGGATGATATTTTGGCTCTCAATAATGACGACTTCAGTATGTATACTAAAGAAATTTATCCTGTTGAACTTACTTTAAATAAAGCTAATACTAACAATGACCACTGCCCTTTCCTCGATGTTGATATCTATATCATTAACGGAAAGCTTAATACTAAAATATATGATAAAAGAGATGATTTTTCATTTCCTATCGTTAATTATCCATTTTTAGATGGTGACGTTCCCTTGTCACCTTCTTACGGTGTTTATATATCTCAACTTGTACGATTCGCTCGTGTATGTAACAATGTTTTAGATTTTAACGAGAGAAATTTATGTATTACTGAAAAATTATTACACCAGGGTTTTCGATATCACAAACTAGTCAAAACATTTACTAAATTTTATCATCGGTATAAGGACATCATTCGTAAATATAGCTCAACATGCAGACTTCTTATACGTTCCGGTATTTCACATCCAATTTTTTATGGAAATATTCTTTATAAAGCACAAAAATGTCAGTATTCACCTCTGAAGCTAACAAAACCTTTAAATAGACTTATTAAGAAGGGATATAGTTACGATACTGTTGTCAGGTCATTAAAGATTGCATATTTTGGCGTTAATATTGATTCACTTATAGGGTCTTTGCATCGGCACCAAACACATTTATTTAAAAACCAGTTGTTGGCATGACACGGGTTATGTTCTTCTCATATATGTTATGATGGTATGATACTAAACCCCTAACTGGAAGGATTGTGCCTGATATTCATATGATGAAGACATAATCTTTCAATCAGTTTAATTGAAGTCTGGAGCTGGCATGTCAGTTAACTGCTAGTAGTCTGTTGTTATTTATGTATTATTGTCATTTTGTTTATTTTCTTTGGTTACACCTTCTGACATCAGACTCGGACTTCTCTTGAACTGAATTTTAATGTGCGTATTGTTATGCGTTTACTTTTCTACATTGGCTAGAGGTATAGGGGGAGGGTTGAGATCTCATAAACATGTTTAATCCCGCCGCATTTTTGCGCCTGTCCCAAGTCAGGAGCCTCTAGCCTTTGTTAGTCTTGTATTATTTTTAATTTTAGTTTCTTGTGTACAATTTGGAGTTTAGTATGGCGTTCATTATCACTGAACTAGTATATATATTTGTTTAGGGGCCAGCTGAAGGACGCCTCCGGGTGTGGGAACTTGCTGCATTGAAGACCTGTTGGTGACCTTCTGCTGTTGTCTGTTCTATGGTCGGGTTGTTGTCTCTTTGACACATTCCCCATTTCCATTCTCAATTTTATGGTAGCATATGAAAACATTTGTATTAACGCTTTTGGGTATTTAGCTGAATTTGCTCCAACTGACCCTAGATCTTGCTCCTAATAAACTTCTATTGATAATTAAGTCCTATCCGGTAATTTTTATCACAAGTCAATTTTTTTGGGGGCTGGTTTTCCCAGAATTTTTCCAATCTTCCTTCAAATGATCTGATTTATGTTGATGAATAGTCTCTAGTTCTTTGGAAGTTGGATACATCTTCATCATATTTACAAACCTTATAAAGTTCAGTCATATCTCCTGGTTTTCTTCTGAATGAGGAGGTTAAATCCAATTCCTCATGAAGAGATAGTGCCATGCTCTCTGAACAAGAAAAACCCTTGCAACAACTCTTTGAGAAGTCTGAAGATGGCTTTTTGCAAGGCTAAATTACTGTCCCTATCAAATATACCTGCATTTTCCAGAATCATATCAACTTTCCCTGCCTTAATGTAATTATGATAATAGTACAACCTTTATTTCAAGAAGGTAAGCGCAAGTAGTACAAACAGTCTTCACCCACAATATAACACTCAAAATGTTACATAACCATTATCCTTTAATAGATTGAGTATAATTTGTGTCTTTTTTTATTTTCATATGTATAGAGCATTTTTTGTTGAAGAGAGGATTAAAAAGTATTGGTTTTGAATTATTTTGATAAATTTACAAGAACTTTATGTCTGCAGTGGCTGTTATGCATGAAATATAGATATTTTATTCTCAATTTTATTTGACATGTTTGGGGGATGTGGAAACTGTATCCTTGCAAACCACACAGAGGTGCTTGCAAAAATGACAGCCTTTTAAAGTACAAAAAAAAAGTTAAAGCAAGAGTAGAGTGGAGTACTGTGCAAGGGATGATATTAATTTGCATGAACTGTGTCAACTTACCTTATAGCAGAGCCATTTTTCACTTAAATAATGGAATTATACAATTGTGTGTGGTGTAGTATCCTGGGCATGTTTTTGGGTATTGCCTAGTCTCATCTCTAATTTGGCCAAAAAGCCATTATGCAGAACTTTGTATATAAATTTCCACATGTTTTAATGACATCACAATTAACATTTCTGCACTGCTATGTCCAGTTTATATAATTTTATTCAATTATTAACAAAATTAATATAATTTTAAAGGTATTGAAGAGTTTTACTATTATTTTGAATTTTTCAATATCCTATGCCAAATAATGGCTCTAATCATACTCTCTTTTTATCCAATTTTGGCTTTATATATCCAAAACTGGTGGTAACCAATCAATCTGGGTGACTGAACACAACCTATTTAAAGATATTGATTGTGCATGCAATTAGATTTGGTATACATCCACTTGATGGACTTTGTTGAGGAAATATATAATCTTTTGTCCTTTCCTTGCTTTATTTGTCAATATTACCGGTAAGTTAAATTTTGTATAAAGAACCAGTTAATTTTTTGCCAGAAAAAAGATTATGATGAAAATTGAGCAAAAGATATACTGAGGTGTTCATGACTTGCTAGAATTTTTTCTCGTGAAATTTTTTGTGAAATTCATAGCAGAATGAAGCAACTACAAGTCATATGTCAGTGATCACAAGTAATCTGATCCTACATTTTATGTGTGAATTATTAGTAATTTGGTCCAATTCTAAGTAACTAAATGACTTACTCATTTCTTTGATTCTTACAGATATTTTCATTTTGATTATTGCTATATTCATTAATTTGATGGTGATGTATTGACAGCATCAGTTGTTGATTAATTCAAGTATTTACATGGACAATCTGTAAAACAGCATGACAATGTGTACTAGAAAATAATGTGATGTAATCAGCCAATATACTCCTTATTAGGGTTATTGTCCTTAAATGACATAAATTATCCCCAATAAGATCTGGATCAGACCTTTTCATAATCTTACCAAGTGTGTGAAAGATGGATGCCTGTGTTGCTAATGTTGCATATTTAAATGAGGTGAGCAATTCAGGCTCCTTGGGACCTTATCAGTTTTTGGGGTTGTGATATAGGAAATTTTTTTGTGTCCATCCTTTTATATGTACATATTTCTCTCACAACTCTCTTTCCACAACTTCTATGCCAGAAAATAAATAACATTGAAACATTCAGAGAATCATTAGTATCTGTTTTATTGAAATGATTGCTGGGCTCAACCACAACTCATATACCAGGATATAATATCAACTAAAGAAGGATTTTATCTTAAATTTTTTATAGGAAGAGGTAATTTTGAATAGTGAACTCCACATGCATATAGTTCCTTCTAGTCTGAATTAAAAATATAGCATTTTCTTTTATATTTTATAATAACAATATTATCTCTTATCTCTTAAATACTTATTCTTTGTTATTTCAGCTGCAACTATGGGATACAGCTGGTCAAGAAAGATTTCGTAAATCTATGGTACAACACTATTACAGAAATGTCCATGCTGTTGTCTTTGTTTATGATGTCACAAAAATGAGTTCATTTGAGAGTATGCCAGCTTGGATAGAAGAATGTGATCGTCATAACCTGAATCAGGAAATACCCAGAATTCTAGTGGGTAACAAGTGTGATATGAAGGCGAAGGTTGCTGTAAATACAAATTTAGCTCAGAAATTTGCTGACTCGCATAGTATGCCGTTATTTGAAACCTCTGCAAAGGACGATGAAAAGGCCAATCATGTTGAAGCCATCTTTATGACATTGGCTCATAAGCTGAAAAACTCCAAACCTATGATGACGCCTTTCATCGCTCCAACAAATTTACCAAATAATGTTCAAGTTATCTCACTGCAGGATAAGAAGTCTAATGATAAAGATCAATGTTTTTGTTAAAGTTTGTTGTTTTTAGTGACCATTTAATTATTTATTATATTGTTAACAACAGAAACTGATGGGATTGCTTATTTATAGACTGTTTATTCTTTATTGTCAAATATTTTTGGACTTGGACAATATCAATAGAAATCTTTGTAGAAAAAAGGCATTTGAAGCTTGACAGTTAAGGACATTTCTTTTTCAACTCTCAACTTCTTTACTCACTTTTAGACTGAAAGATGTGAAAACTTCATTATTTTTCTACCTTCAGCCTTCATAAGAAAGGCAGATTATTACAGTTGTCTCCCCTTGGAAACGTATGAAGGAAAGTTGATCTCTGATAAGTAAAGGTATTTTAAATGAAATGTTGGTTTTTGGAGGGATATTTTTAACAATGAATATGGTTTTTTTTTCATCTTCATAACATAAATTGTTTCACTGTTTCACTGAAGTTTGAAAACCCTTGTCTTCTTGTCATTAAATTGGTGTTTAGAAACCTGTTCACTTTACAAAATGTTGTTGGTTCTACAAAGCATCACTCTAGTCGTCAAAGAAGATATATTTTTCACATTTTGGTGTTTCTTTTTGTGTTATATAGATGTTAACAAACTGAATTTATTTGTAAGAAAACTGATTTGTGGTGCAAAAAGGATTAAGGTTTAAGAATAATGTTTGAATTTTATTGAAAAAAACAAATGTTGAAAAATTCTCATGTTTCTTATTACCTGTTCTTATATCTTTATAATGTCATGTACATTATGTCATATTCGAAGTTTTCATCACATTTTTCTCATCAACTGCAAGTCATAGCTTTTTAGTATATTGTACCAAGCTTCATCTGGTTATGTAATACCATGTGACACTTTTCTGTTCCAAAGACTTGTGTCTTGGGTATAATTAGTGAGCAATAGCTCACAGTACATTTTGTTTTCCTTCTTTTTTTAAACTTTCTAAAAGTTCAATTGTCTTAAATTTTGCATATATCTTATGTAAATTGTTAAAATATTGATTCATGATAATGTACCAAAAACTGTCCAAAGCAAATTTATAGAAAGGAATGATTATTCAATAATTGCATGGTTTTGATTATGATTAAATGCTTTTTATGTCCATAGAAATGTTTGGAGTACAGTTTTGAAAGAAAAAGAAAAGGTCACATTAACACATACATATATTGACATATAGATGTGTTTTATTTTTATACGCCCGTTTACGGGACGTATTATGGTATACCATTGTCCGTCTGTCCGTCCGTCGTCAACATGTCGGACATTAACTCAAAAACGCTTTAACCAATTTGCATAAAACTTTGGTGAATTGTTTATATCTATTGACGTGGGCTCCCTTTCGTTTTTTATAAATTTTAGATTTTACGTTTCCGAGTTATGGGGTTTTATTAATTTGAAAAAGGGGGATTTTCCAGTTTCAGACAATAACTCAAGAATGCTTTCACCAACTTGCAAGAAATTGTGGTGAATTGTTTATATCTATTGACATGAGCTCCCTTTTTGATTTTTATATATTTTAGATTTTACGTTTCCAAGTTACATGGTTTTATTCATAAAAAAAGGGTGATTTTCCAGTTTTCAGACAAAAAATCAAAATTGCTTTCAGCAGTTCGTATGAAACTTTGGTGAATTGTTTATATCTATTGATGTAAGCTCCATTTAGAATTTTATAAATTTTACATTTTATATTTCTGAGTTATGGGGTTTTATTCATTAAAAAAGGGAGGATTTTTCCAGTTTTCGGACAATATCTCAAAAATGCTGTCAGCAATTCTCATGAAACTTTGGTGAATTGTTCATATCTATTGATGTAAGCTCCCTTTACATTTTCATAAATTTCTAATATGACATTGAGAATTAATTGAACTTTATTTGTTTATAGTCTGACAACAGATTTACTAAATAGCACAGTGTATTGCACAACAGCAAGAAATCTTTAATTGAATATAAATTCAATTCATATAACCAATTTCAAGTTCTTTGACTACATTTATTTAGAAACCTATAATATGTCAAATATTTAATACAATCCAAATTCAGACCTGTATCAAGCTTGAATATTGTGTCCATTTTTGTCCCAACTGTTCAGGGTTGGACCTCTGCGGGCGTATCCAGCTGCGCTCAGTGAAGCAGTTTATTGAGGTAAAGATTTCATTCATGCAACCAAAACCAAAATCAATTTTCCAGACTTGATCACTACTTTTGACATTAACAAAACATAGTGCATTTAGCACATTTTATACATCCTATCCATGAACCTTTTAAGAAATTTATCAATGAGATATATACTCAGATATTCAAGTCACAAAATGATTTGTATGTGTATAACCATACTTGTCAAAAATATGAAATAAATGGTGCATGGTGGAGTTATCTTCCTTTGTCCATAGTTGTAGTTGAACAATTCATTGCCTTCCAATGCTTAATACAATTTCCCACTTCAAAATGAATAAAATCTTTATCCTTCAGAGCTCACAAGCACTCTGATTATGTGTGTGTTGTTGGGTTGGTCTCTCATTGATGTATACCCCAATTGTTCCTTTTTTTCATTTGTATTGTAATATTTGCGCTAACTGTTGATTATTATGGAAGAACATTGAAATGTTTATTTTTAAAGAGTTCTAGTATACATAGTACTTTTTGTTTGTTTTGCATTATTTTGAACATTTTTGTCTTTTATAATGTGAAGTTGAGCACTGTTTTCTATTTGATCTTGTTTGAACAGAACAATCAGGGCATTCAGAAAGCAGGTGTGTCTGCCAATTTTTTTTTATATTTGATCCTGGTTGATTAGAAAGAAATAGTATTACATGTACTGAACTACAGGTTTAAATTTTGATATTATTATAACTTGCCAAAAGAAAATATGTTCTCCTGTGCTGTACCAAATACTTATTTCCTTTACTGTTATTAATGTATCAGGTTGTCAACCAGTCAATTATTGTCTTTTATATTATTTGGTAAGTCTTTTTTAAGTAAGATGTGGCACAACAGTGATTTTCATAAATATTCAAAAATTGAATTACTCTAGTGTTATCTTTTCATATGAATACATATCAAAGTCAACAAAAATGGTTACATAAAACAATCACTTAAAGGATTACAGGTCTCTTCTCAACAACTCTAAAAGGGGGGTTTTTGATGATACATTATTTTTGTTTCATAGTACAAGAAACAATACTGTAAACATGTCAATTTTCTCACATGGGTTATTTTCACTTATTTTCACTTATTTCATGTTCACATTATATGTGTGAAAATATCCCCTGTAGGAATGGTTTTTAGAGAGCAATAACCTTAGATGTGAAGGTCAAAGTTATATTTGATGTGCAAATTAACCCCAGCTGGAAAAGTTAATGCATGAAAATTGCAAAAAATAAACCGTGTAAATATCTTCTTTTACTGTACTTTTTTATGCCCCCCCCATAGCGGTTGGGGCATTAAGTTTTACCCTTGTCAGTCTTACGTACGTAAACGTTATGCCCCCGCTGTAGCAGTGGGGGCTTTAAGTTTTACCCTTGTCCGTCTGTACGTACATACGTACGTACGAAGGTACGTCCCAAAATTGGTTTCCGTTCTCTAACTTGAGTTTGCCTTAACCAAATGTTATGAAACTTATACACAATGCTTATTACCACAAAATACAGATCAAGTTTGAATTTTGGTGGCGTCACCTTAACCGTTCTAGAGTTATGCCCTTTATAAATGGAAAAATTGCAAAATATTTAGTTTCCGTTCTCTTACTTAAGTTTGCCTCAACCAAATAATATGAAACTTATACGCAATGCTTATTACCACAAGACACAGATCAAATTTGAATTTTGGTGGCGTCACTTTAACCGTTCTAGAGTTATGCCCTTTATAAATGGAAAAATTGCAAAATTTTTAGTTTCCTTCTAAATATCAAGTAATTTTTAAAATTGGAGTTATCTTCCTTTGTCCATGATTATAGTTGAATCGACTACAATCAATGCTTTATACAATGCAATGTTTAATTTTGACTTCTACTGATAAAACACAGATCAAGTTGAATTTGGGTAGTGTCACTTTAACCATTATTGAGTTATGCCCCTTTATAATTCGAAAGATTGCAAAATTTTTAGTTTCCATTCTGTAACTTAAGTTTGCCCCAACCAAACATTATGAAACCTATACACAATATTCATTACCACAAAACTAAGATCAAGTACAAATTTTTTGTTTCCCTTTTCTAACTTTAGTTTGCCTCAACCAAATGTTATGAAACTTATACACAATGCTTATTACTACATAATACAGATTAAGTACGAAATTCGGTGGCGACACTTTTTAACATTCTTGAGTTATGTCCCTTTATAAACATAAAAATTGCTGAATTTTTCGTTTCTATTCTCTAACTTTAGTTTGTCTCAACCAAATGTTATAAAACTTATACACAACCGTTCTAGAGTTATGCGTTTTTACAAATAGAAAAATTAGAATTCGTTTCTGTTCTCTACTTAAGTTAGCCTCAACTAAATGTTATGAGACTTACATACAATGCTTATTACCACAAAACTCAGATCAAGTTCAAATTTGGGTAGCGTCACTTTTACCGTTCTTCAGTTATGTCCCTTTATAACTATATGATATGGAAGCGGGGGCATCATCTCTGTCCACATGTGGACACTATCCACATTTATTTTGTGATTTAAAAAAGGCAACCTTATATAGAGTGCATGACTGACCTATCAACTATATAAATTCAGTTTTTGTTTTTTTTTTGTAGATGCATTACCATACTATATTTTACTTCTTGTAAATGACGCCTTTTGATTTCCATTGTTTTTATTAAAATTTATACATATATTTTGCATAATCATCAATGATGTATTCAGCACATATTAGCGCTTTTTTTACTATTTTCATCTAGTGAACATCCATACTTTTAAACAATTAAGTCAGAGATATTGTAGAAATTATATATTTTTCAATACAACCCGAGCACCACAACCTGAATTTTTTTTGGTTACAAAATGCCATTGAATTATTGACTAAACATGTGAAAGTTTATTTTTATGCCCCCACTGTCTGACACTGGAGGGGGCATTAAGTGTTACCCTTGTCGGTCCCTACATCCCAAAATTGGTTTCCGTTCTCTAACTTTTTTCCTCAACCAAATGTTATGAAACTATAATACTAGTACAATGTATACAAAATGCTTATTTCCACAAAACACAGATCAAGTTCAAATTTGGGTGGCGTCACTTTTACTGTTCTAGAGTTATGCTCCTTTATAATGTTGTATGCAAGCAAGGGTATCATCTGTGTTCCATGGACACATTCTCCAATTATTTTTTTGTACTTTCCAAATTAATATACTAGCACATATACTGATCAACTAAAATTTGAACAAAAATCATTATCCTTTTTCTCCTAATGACTGTGCATTTAAACAGCTGCTCACCAGCGGGATATATTTTTGATAAACCAGATGTTGAAAATTATTGTGTATGATTTCACTTCCATACCTTTAACTTAGACTTTCCCAAAACAATCATCAGAACATTTTAGCATCTATCACAGTGAATACATATAATCAATGAGGTATTGTGGTTAAATCTATATTTATACAAAGATGTCAGTCATATGATGTAATATGTGTGTTGTAGTTGTTGTCAACCATTAGTCCTTATGCTTTTCTGACAATAACTTTAGAGGTAGTTAATTGATAGGGGTCAACCTACAAATTTTAACTTATTTTTATTTCTCTTCAAATTTTTAGGCTGTATGGCCACCCATTGATTTTTTTATGATCAATATAAAGTAATACTACAAAATTTTCACACAATGTCATGGACCTTTGAAAAACATGTTAGTTCCAGTTTTGGCTGATTTGAAATTAGTTAAAAGTCTGTTCCTTTATTATAGATTGGCTATTTGCAGAGTACTGTTATGTTTCTATGTTAGAATGAAAAAATAGAATAAGAGTACTGCTAAAACCAAAAGTTTTGAGCTTTAACACAGTATTAAGGATGCCTTTCTCATAAAAAAAAAAGATATATATTGATGTTTTTAAGTAGTAATTCATTGCTTTTTTATTTAATTTTTCAACTCTCAATTATCCGCATATTGCAATTGTATAACTGTGCCCAGATTAGCCTGTTATGGGTTATTGTAAATAACAGTTAATACTGAAGAAACTGTACACACAATGTAAATAATGTTCTCTGTTAAATCTTACTTGTGATTGATAAATGTTAAAAGTACTGTAAACAGGGAAATTTTCGCGGTAGTTTTATTTTCGCTATTTTCGCGGTAAGAATTGAAACGCGAAAATATCAAGGAAAACTTTTTTAATTACATTTACTTTTTACAAATTGTGACTTGGATGGAAAGTTGCTTCATTGGCACTCATACCACATCTTCTTATATCTATGTATATGAATAGAATACTGT